GGGCTATTAGCCCAGGTGGTTAGGACGTCGAACTTATCAACTTTGCCATTTTTCGACCGCGTTCAAATCCTGGCGGTCCAATTTTTTTTTGTTTTATTTTTTTTTTATTTTTTTTTTGTTTTTTTTTTTTTTTGTTTAGAAAATATGAAAATTGAATAAATACGATTATTGTTGATTATTTTTTTAAATATATTTTAATTATTATAGTAATAATAACCTTGGTTTTACATTTTTTTGATGACATTATATTGTGGTCGTAGGAAAAATATTGTACATCACTTGTGTGAAAAGTGATTTTCCACACTCGTGTGATAGTCTCACTCGGCTTGCGCCTCGTGTGACAATATTTCCCACTCGTGTGAAAAATGTCACTTTCCACACTCGTAATGTAATATACTATTTCTACACTACGCATTTTTTAGTTATTGATATTAAATGTATATTAAAATGAGCTATTCTCATATAGAATCGATAAATAATAGAATGTCAATTTAATTACGAGTATTAAAACTAAAATGTTATAGTTGGCGATAAAGCAGGACTAGATCATCTGACTTTTATGCATAAGGCCCGGGTTCAAATCTCGCCTGGGGTCTAATTAAATTAAATGTTTTTTTATGTTTACTTTATTTTATAAATTAGCAGAAGTCATAAATTATTTTAAAATTAGTTATTTCGTCTTAATAACCTAAAATAATTTTTTATATTTTAGATTTTCGTTAGTGGGTCGTAGAAAAAATATGATGTACAACTCTGGTGGATTGTCCATATCTAGTTAAAACACTCATGTTTATCAAAAAAAAATTTTTTAAGAATATACGAAATTTATAGATCTTTCTAGTTATTAATGATCTCTATTACTCATGCGCAAATTCTAATTCCGCTTAATATCATCAAAATTTATGGTTATGTTTTCTATCCTAAGTTCTATTACTTATCTGCAAATGTCATTTTGTTTTTGCGTTTAATAGTATTAGTAGAGGAGCCAGTGTGACAAGTTTAAGTGTGCTATTTGCAAAAAGTAAAATTTTATTAGAAATATATCGTTCATTCTTACGTTGTTGAATATGGAAATAGTTTGCTGCGCAGCGATGGAGCCCTCGACGATGACGTTTTAAAAACCCTGTGTAGAAAATGCTGTCATAGAAGCGCAAACTTGAAACTTTCAGGTATTATTAACACAATTTATAGTGGAAAAAAGTATCTTGAAATTTTTGCTTGCAGTTAGGGCATTTTAGAGCTAGATCAATTGCACCAAAGTATTTCTATCGTCTACAAAGTAAAAAGTAAGGTCACACTTATAATTTAGCCTGCTGCAAATAATAATAACTTGAATTTTTAATCACGCGCCATTTCCGTCTGTCAAACATCAAGTGGGCCATATTAGGCATGTGTTTTGTCAAAACATTGACATTAACGAAATTTCACGTTACACTCTTGAGAACGTTTATTAATTGTGAAGACCCATTACAGAAATTGAGAAAATTTTACAGTGACAATGCGCAGGTTACGTGAATATTTCGGTGTACATAATCATCTGTCGCGGCTCGCTATTGAAAATTTGATCAACAAATTTGAGCGGACATTTGCATTGAAAGACGAGAGAAGTGTTAAGCGTCGTCGTCCTGGAAGGTCTGCTGAAAACATCGCCGCCGTGAGAGCCAGTGTTAACGAGCATCCAAACACTTCCATCCGACATCGCGGCCAGAAATTAAATATCAGTAGCAGTATATTACGACAAATTTTGATGAACAATCAATCAATCAATCAATCAATATATGTTTATTGTCAAAGCTACAAGAACTTATAGACAAACACTTATAAATATAATTATTATGTAGTACTAACAATTACATGCATAAAAATTTAAAAATTGTATAAAAACGTTAAATATAAAATTAGAGGTTAATTACAAATACAAATAAGTAACACAACATCGATAAAATTATATAAATACAAAAACATGTACGTTCAAACAGTCACAACGATTTAAGAGTTATTGTAAAATTCCGTCAAAGCATAATATGCTTTTGTCATCAACATATCTCTAAGCAGTATTTTAAATGTTGTGACCGTTTCCGTCGATTTAATATCATTTGGCAACTTATTGTACATTTTAATCCCATTATAAATGAAAGAGCCCCGTTACCAGTTCAGATTTGGGTATGGGCAGCCGCAGGTTGTCAACTTGTCGCGTTAGCCGAGCGTTAGTATTGGCATAGTTCGATTTATTTTTATGTATAATACAAGTGGTTTCAAGAATGAACGATGTTAATGTTAAAATTTCATGTCTAATAAAATCTGGCTGACATGACTCAAGCTTGTTCATTCCACAAAAAAATCGTATTGCTCTCTTTTGCAGACAAAAAACAGTATTGAATAATTTGCGGCTGCAACCTCCCCAAAATGCAATTCCATATCTCAAATGGGACTCAACTAGGGCGTAATACACACTTTTTGCTGCCTTAAAACCTAGTTCTTTTGCCACAGTTCTGACTGCAAAACATCCATAAGAAAGGTTTCTGTTTAGCAATTCTATATGGTTTCTAAATTTCAAATTATTATCTAAATTAATTCCCAGAAATTTTATTGTGTCAGTACATTCAATAATATGACTTCCCAACTGAATATTTGGTAAGGAACATTTAAGGGTTAGCGTTTTAGTTTTTCCCATATTAAGACGCAAATAGTTGGCATCGCACCATGCTTTGATTTTCTTAATGTCACAGGATATGGTGTTGTATAGGACAGAAGTGTCATTGCTGTGCCATAAAATCGTAGTATCATCTGCAAATAGAGTGAAAGTACCTGCAATTTCAAGTTGAGCTAAGTCATTCACATAAAGGAGAAATAAAATGGGACCTAACACAGAACCCTGAGGGACACCCCAACTAATATCTAAAACTTGAGAATCCTGAGACACTCTTACCATTTGCTTACGTTCTGAAAGATAAGATTTTACCCAACTCAGCGCTCCGTTTTTGATCCCGTAAACTCGAAGTGTATCCAACAGTACTGTATGATTGACGCAATCGAACGCCTTAGTTAAATCACAGAATATCCCCGCTACAGAATCGTCAACATTAATTCTAGAATAAGCATGTTCAAGATAAGAAAATATCGCATCAGAAGTACTTTTGTTCCTTTGAAAACCAAACTGTTGTATTTCCAGCAATTTGTGAGTTTCTAGATAAGTTCGAAGGATCGTAGTTACTGCCGCCTTTATGTATGGGAACAATAACACTGGTCTTAAGAAATGACGGAAAATTTGATTCGACGAAACTTTGGTTGATCAGACTAGCAAGGACTAACATTGCTGATTCAGGAAGGTTTAGGATAACTCTAATAGAAATATCATCATAACCAGCAGCATTTTTGTTTTTAATATCTGAACATATTTCCATTATTTCAAAACATGTTGTAAAACTTAGAGTAAAGTTGGAGTTAACATGGGTATTTTTTAAATAATCTAAAGGATCAACTGACGATCTGAAATTATTAGTCAGATTTTCAGCAATTTAGCAATAATACTGATTAAATGTTTCTGAATCGATGTAGTTCTTAACGGATTTGGAATTTTGTTTATTTTTCAATTCATTAATAATATTCCAAGTTTCTTTAACTTTATTATTAGATTTTTCAATTCTAGAATAATAGTATATGTCCTTAGCTTTTTTAATAACAGCCCTATATATTTTCCTGTAATGGAGGTAATAGATTAAAAAGAATTCAACGATTTGCATCTTTATCCATACAAAATATTGTTGTAGCAAGAGTTGAAGCCAGCCGATCATAGACAGCACAGAAACTTTGCGAATTGGATATTGGAATAACACGGAGTTGACGATGCATTTCACAACAAAATAATCTTTAGTGATGAGGCGCACTTCCATTTGAACGGCTTTGTGAATAAATAGAACTGTCGAATTTGGAGTGAAGAACATCCACATGCCGTGCACGAGCTTCCAATACATCCTGAAAAAGTGACAGCGCCATTTGGGCAGAAGGGAAGATCGGACCTTATTTTTATCAAAATAATAAAGGTGACTCCGTAACTGTAAATGGTGATCGCTACCGTAGTATGCTGAGAGACTTTCTTTGGCTGGAAGTAAATGGAATAGACATAAATAACTTGTGGTTTCAAGAGGACGGCGCGGCCTGCCACACCTCACGCGAAACAATAGCGTTACTGCAAACAAAGTTTCCAGGTGGTGTAATCTCTCGATTTGGAGACCAAAACTGACCGCCGAGAAGTTGCGACTTGACGCCCTTAGACTATTTCCTTCAGGGGTATTTAAAAAGTAGAGTATACGGGAACCATCCTGAGATGATTCGACAACTGAAGGAAGAAATCGAACCTAATATTTGTGAAATCCAGCCGATTTTGCTTGAAAACGTCTTCCGAAATTTTGTCATATGAATATACACCTGTCAACGGAGCCGCAGTGGCCATTTGATAGATGTTTTGTTTCATGTTTAATGTCAAAATTTTCTTTTGAAAATTCAATAAAATATTTGCATATTTTTTTTTAATTACTGTGCTTTCTTTGTCATTAAAAATTCAAGTTCTTATTCGGACACCCTTTATGTACCAAAAAAGTTTAACTGGCTCCCTACTATATAGAATCGATGACAGTTATGTAATGGAGTTATAATGTAAATTAACGATAACATGGGGCAATCGTCGTAGCCAACCCAACAATTGTACGGCGAGGATAAGAAAGGGAACAATTAAGTTGTTTGGAAAATTACTAGATTCAATATTCCCGCGCTTTTTTCGCGCATGAGTAATGTGAAATTGTCGAATAACGGGAAAAGTCCATAACACACTACTATAATGTCTGATAATCATATTTTTACCTCTGTTTATTGTTTGAAGTCGTTTCATATCAAGTCTCGTTTTAAGATACACTTTTTTATTTCTGTCCACCATATCTGATTTTCCAAATTTTTATTTTTGGTAAAATATCTTCTTTGATTTGAGCCACTTCTTTTGTTAGGATGGTTACTGGAAGAAAAATAAAGCATGCGTCGAATGCAAATGTAATAAACATGGTACAACTCCAAACACCGTTTGTGACAAGGAAACCGGAAAATGTCAATGTAAACCAGGAGTTACCGGTCAACAGTGTACAAATTGTCTACCCGATCATTATGGAAGTATTCAATCTACCTGCAAAAGTAAGTTTTGTTTTATTATGTAGTTTAGTACAATTTAAAAATATACAACATTAAATTGATACTTTTAGTACCTATAATGATTTATAAAAAAAAAGTTTCTAGATTTCAAAACAATTGTCAGTAAGGTTTAAATAAGAAGGTACTCAAAATAGACTCTAAAACAACGTCCCACTTTTTCTCAACTGGCATCCCTTTATTTTTGTTAAGTAAAAAAAAATACTCTTAGGTAGGTACCAACTCCTGAAAACAAAGTTAATTTTAATAAAAAAAGCACTATCATTTGTTACTTTTATAACTATTTGATTACTTGTTTAATTTTGTAATAAATTCATTCATAATATTAAAAATTTTAATACTTTCAAATTCATTCAAACTATTATATAGAGTTGCCAAATTACCAATCATAAGTAGGGACTGTTCCACAAAAAATGTTTCTAAAGTAGGCCTTGGAAAAATTCACGCATGTCGAATTATTCAGTTCTTTTCCTTTTTAAATGTCAGTTTGGATTTGATTTAGATCTATGCATAAAGTTATTACGAATGACTTCTACCTGCGTCTTTGTCGGTCATGGCACACTTTAGGAACATTTTTTGTGGATCACTCTTTATATTTGGTTTTATCCTGTTTATTTTGAATCCTTTTTTTTATAGTTTTTTTGTAAAGAGAAAACTTTTTTCTACTGTCAATTAAAATAATAGTATTATATAAATATATAGACTTTAACGCTTTGAAACCAGAGCTGAATAATAATGGTCTTCTTTATCACGGCGTTTCTCGCTACATCAAATTTCTCATCATGACAGCCGCGTGCGATTTTTTCTCCCATTTTAATAACGCCTATAAATTTTGTTGCAAATGTAAGGTTACCAGATTAAATCTACTCCATCCAGGTCAAGTTTATAAAAAAAAAACGGAAAAAATAAGAAATGTGATATTTTTCACATTATTTACTTAATGCCACGGTTTTACTAATTTCATGATACTAATAAAACAAAACAAAAAAACAAAAATGTTTATTTTATAAACAACAAAAAGTTACAAGTTAAAACAAGATAAAACTGAAAAAAAGGAACGGATTACCCTTACAAGTACTATTTACTACACTTTATTTTATTTAATAGTTTTAAATTTTCTGGTAAAATTACAAAATCGTAAAACTTTGAACAACTCATATCTTTTAAATTAGGTATAAGTAGTCATAAGTATTCCGTTTACAGAGGCCAAAAGTAGTATATTCTTTCATTTGTCCCCTGGGCTGCAATAAGTGAAAATATTCTTTCCACATTAGCATTAGGGAACGGGATTGCGAAAAGAAATTCAGCTGCTTTTAATAACTCTGAAAACTTCTTCACGAACGCTTCATTAAAATATTTGCCTATTTTTCTTGAGCAGGAAGATTACGGTCGTTGGCATCTAAATTTTCTGATATATCTTCTCATAACTACACAATTGATCAAAAAATGTAGAGTCATCTAACTCAAGTCCTTTCAAAATTAAGTATAATAATGAAGGCATTAAATATCTTCCCCAATCACAATTATTATTGGCATATTTTAGGCTCACCCATTTAAAACATTGGAATTAATCAAATTATTTAATCTAGTTTTTTAAATATTTTATTGAATTATATAATTAATAAATCTCTAATTTGAGTTTATCACATTCGCGCTCTAAACCATTTTTATGACATTTAATATTGCGCACCTTGAGTTATATAAATTTGTTTGCTGTTCTTTCTTTCAAAGTAGAAAGAACTTTTTCCAAAATTGAGATTGTTTTAATCACAGAGTTGTCTTGACGTTCAATTCGTTCTTTATTTGTGAGAAATATAGAAATATATAATACAAAAACCAACTTTCAAATGACACATTAACAATCAATGAGTCATAAATCGTTAACCAAACTGGCTGATTTTGCCACGTACGTTTCCTATTGGAAATATGGCACGCACACACTCCTTTCTTACTACTTTATATTCTAAGTTTTCAACCCCATATTTCAATAGCTCTTTTATCTTATATTTCTGACCACGTATTTCGTTTTGTCAAAAATGAATTTTTTTCCTATCTTGGCACATATTTTAAATTTTCCACCTTTCAATACATTGACTCCATGACTCTCCATTGATGAATTGATCACTTAGAAACTGGTCGCCAATAAATTGACTTTGTGAGAAATAAAGGTCCTTTTCTATACACCTTCATACCCAATTCCAACCACTCTCATATGGCTACCCTTATCCATAAGCTTTTACATTTTTTCAATTGTTTTTGGTTTTTGAAATAATCGTGTAAAACGTTTTTGAGAAACTCCTGTATCTCGATTATTTGATAACATACGGTATTTTGGTTTAGACATTTCAGGGGCACTTTTTTAAGATCTTAGTATACAAATTAAAGCAAAAGGATATTTCATACCGTTTACGAGATAATGACTATAAGTTTGTTTTTTCTTGCGGATGCCATATTGGATTTGTATTACATTAAATAGCATTTTCTATCTCCTTTTTAAAAATCACAACATTGGTTTTTTCATTCAAATGATTATTTATTTTATTTCCAATGAATATTGAAATAAGAAAAAATATTAGTTACGCATAGTAATTTTATTTAGGCTATGGTTCACGATAACGTCCGACTGAATGCTTCAGTCGATGGAAAGACTATCTAAAAAAATTATAAATTTATTCTTGCATTATTAACGATTAAATTCATTGAACGGATCGAAAAACAGGAATTTTGCGATAATTTTGGGACAATTTACAATACAAGCTTATACAAATACAGTTTAATTCAGTGTTTCTCAAAGTGTGCTCCGCGAAGCATGTGTGGGGGCTCCGCGAAAATAATACTCATAAAACAAATACAAGGAGTACTATGAGGAAGTTCGCAACAAAAGGGAGGATCTTTTTTTTATAAATGCCTCTATTATTTTCGTTTTTCAAAAGGGTTCCGTGGCCAAAAACGTTTGAGAAACGCTGGGTCTAATTTAAAGAAATTGTTGTATGTGGCTACTACCTTGATCACAATACATTTGATACAGCATTAATCTAGGACACAGTATGTATATATGTTCGACAGAGTCTCGAAAGCTCTTAACGTATACAGCTAGTTTATACGCCAAGAAATGTTATCATCTACTTTTTCTCCACTGGTTTCTTCTTCGTTTTCACTAATATTAATATGATACAACCCATATATCTTAAGAAAAACACCTTGATGTTGGTTTTAAACCATTATTGTTGCAGTAGTTCAACTAACGACTTTATACCTAATTTAAAATTCGTGCCATTTTTCACCAGGTTGTAACATTCTTTTTTGCCTGTCAACCCTTTCGCCGACATAAAAAAATTTCCACAATATCATCCTAGGATCAAAAAAAACCTCGTTTAAGCTATATCCCGAATTTTGTTGGTTAAAGAAAGTAAAAATCCGGCAACGTGGTTTGGAATCCTTACACCAGAAGTAGCAAAACCGCATTGGCATTTTAATATTATTCGTGACGTCTGAAAGCAAATATTTTATTGCTAGCAAAAAAAATCAAAAATATAGAAATATGAAACTTTGCTTTGAATTCTACAGGTCACATGACTGCTTCCACCGCCCGGACATAGTACAACTTGTTCACACTTCTCTTGCACCCAACTACAAAGAGCGGCCAAAAAAAGCGACGTGCCACTTTTACCAGTTAGATGAATAGCTCTCGAAAGTAATATTCGATTCAAGTTATATAATTTACTGACTAGTATGGTGTGGTTCACGTTACCTATCAAAATATCTAATCAATTCAAAGAATGTTGTCGTTTTGTGCTACTTGTCGTTATTTGACAGATATTCCATTCTAGGACAGAAAAACTGTCACTCCCTCACCTTACTTTAAGACAATGCCAGAAGGCCATGTGGTTTATTTGGTAACGTTGATAATATTTTGAAGAAAATGTCAGGTCCTCGTTCAAAACGAAATAACGGTGATATCTCAAAAAACGTTACTTTAATCTTTACGATTCGCCATTGAAAAATACAGACATTTTATGTACTAATTTTATCTAGCGTTCTGACGGCGTAGATTTTGAGTACGTTACAGCGTTGAGCGTCACCTTTCGTCAAGACGCCTAGCGCCGTGGCATAGGAAGGTACTGCGTCGGAATGGATATAAGGTAGAAAATACTTAGGTGGTGCGAGACGTGACAGCGTTTGGGAGATAGACCGTCGGGACATAGAAAGTTAGGGAAGTAGGGCGACTGGGCGGTGAGCGTCGAAACGTGCAAAACGTTCGGGAGATAGGTCATCAGACGAGGTACGTTAGGAGACAGGAGGTAGCGTATGATAGGTATCGGTTTGGAAGAGCGTCGATTTAGGCAAGGTACTGAATACTGAACTTGAAATATAACTGAATTCGAAAACCAACAACTGAATTTAATATAATAATGAAATAAATGAGATCGGATAAATATGTTTTTACAATAAATTAAATGTATCCGAACACTGAAAAAAATACCCGGTATCCGGATACTTACAAATTTGGTCACGTATACGGATACCGGATACAAAATTTTAAAAATACCAGATATACAGCTTTCGGATACATATAACTCTGTTATATACAAATATTATCTTTCATAATGCTAATTTTACCAAATCGACAAATGATAAGCTAACAAAAAAGTTAAATTGTATCATTTTTAATTTTTAAACTTTTTCAGAATGTGATCCTTGTAATAAAAAGGGCCATATCTGCGATCCAACAAATGGTAAATGTGTCTGTCCTCCACTAACAGCAGGTCAAGATTGTGAAAATTGCGCAAAAAAATCATGGGGATACGAACCAGGCATAGGCTGCAAAGTAAGTTAAAGATCTTTATTCGTATAGTCATTCTAGGTAAAATTACATAATTCTGGCTATATTTCTATTGTATACATCTGGTGGTCATTTCCTTAAAAGTAAAAACGATATTTTTAAGTTAAATGTTTCCCTTCCTTTTAATTTTGCTACGAGTAAGATGTTGACCTATTTTCTGTTCGGTCATACTTTATTTTCTTTTCAGTTTAGAAATTCGTGACCCATAGTACCTAGATTTTTTTTTATGAATTTTAAGTTTAGTTATACTTATGCCGATATTTTTTTTAATAGAATACGAGTAAATCCACTCTATTTTTTTAGGAATGTAATTGTTCACTGACTGGAAGTTTTAATCAACAATGCGATCAAACCAGAGGCATATGCAGTTGCAATGTCGGTTTTGAAGGTGAAAAATGTAACAAATGTAGTTTTGGTTACTTTGGTTATCCTGATTGCAAAAAATGTATCTGTGACCCAATAGGTACAGATGAAGATCATTGTCAACACGGTCTCTGCAAATGTAACAACACCGGAATTTGTAGGTGTAAGGTAAGTCCAGTTTCATGTATTCGGATGTTCAAACTTTTACAGACCATACCACATTTGAAATAACCTTAGTACTCTTAATATACTGCATCTACAAGAAAAACATCACATTTGTAGATTGTTTCTCAGAATTTTCTATCAAATTCTAGTCGAAGTAGACTTATTTAAAAAAATGATAAAACAAGTTATTTCTGTTAACTGTTTCAGAAAACTGTTAATGATTGCCTTTAAACCAATGATATTTTGTAACCATACTTATCTAATTTGGCAATAACCTTTTTATTAAATTTCTATTCGCAAATAAATTAGCTATTTAGACACATTAAATTATTCCAGGAAAATGTTCAAGGAAAATATTGTGATCGTTGTAAAGAGAATCATTACGGTCTTTCTAAAGAAAATATCAAAGGATGTACAGAATGTTTCTGTTTTGGCAGAAGCAACAGGTGCCAAGATGCGGAATACCACTGGAACAAATCGACGAGATTAGAAAGAAATCTAGAAGAGGATAATCAGGTGAGTGTATTTTTATTACCCAATGAAGAGTGATTTAGAGATACTTATTTTATATTAGGTATTATTTCCTAAAATAATCAAAAAATATGGATTTGTTACCAAAACAGGATCATTAGTTTGTTATGAATCGCATTATATCAGTGTTAGGAATCTTATACCAAAATTAGTCCATCAGTCAATGATCAATTGGTAATGCAGCTTTCCACCCTTTCTGTGTCAAAATACTCAGGGTATGGGTACGTGGCTGGATACTGGCAAGGTTTAGAACAAGATGGTGCCCAAAATCATATTATGGGCTACCCCTGGCAACAACAAAAAAACAAAAAGGGCGCCATAGGTGAAACCTAGGATAATTATTATTCTAACCCTCGACAGTAACTTGATGTGATAAATGAAGAGCAAAAATACTATTTACAATTTTATTTTACGTGTACAAGTGTACAAGTGTACAAGTGTACAAGCGTACAAGTGTACAAGCGTACAAGCGTACAAGCGTACAAGCGTACAAGCGTACAAGCGTACAAGCGTACAAGCGTACAAGCGTACAAGCGTACAAGCGTACAAGCATACAAGTGTACAAGCATACAAGTGTAGAAGTGTACAAGTAGGTCGCAACAAAAAAAAACGACATTCACCTTAACTAATATTTTCTTGAAGTCTTCGGAAAATCCGGAAAGAAGTTATCAGGACTTCAAGTGAAGTGTTGATATTCCAGGAAACGTTATCGGTATTAAAAAAAAATCGTTTGAGCAAAAGCAGTTTCCAGAAAAACCAATCTCTAGGAAAAAGAATCTTCAGAAAAAGCGATCTCCAAGAAAAGCAGTTTTCAGGAAAAAACAAACTTCCGGAAAATGCCAAATTCTCGGGAAAGCTAAAATATTAAGCTAATAAATACGCGAACATACTTGATAAAGAATTCTATAAGATTCGGGACGGTGGTGTAGCGGTCTATCGCGCTTATATTCATTTATAGGCAAGTTTATGAGTCTGAGACTGCTGGGTTTCGAATCCCAGACCAGACCATGTGGATTTTTAATTAAATTGCATGGTTCGGTTTAGGATTTGATGTGTGGCGTATTAATAGAAATTCAATTTCTGTTGATATGACATGCAGATTAAAAAAATTCGCCATACATTACCGTCTCGATGATGGTGGGTGAGGTTTTCCGGGTTTTCCTCACCTGTAAGTCAAATGGCACCATCAATCATCTTTAAGTCGCCCCGGAGCGCCACGGCAAATAATAATAATAGCCGTCCCTTCCCCTACACAAGTCGTTCAGTCGACTTCAAGGGTTGAAATTCACTCGTAAGGGGGTGAATTAGGGAGAGTATTATTATTTGTGTTTTGTTTCATATAACAATGAACTAAATTATTTCAATCAAAATTTATGATAAAGATAAATTCAATTATTGTTTTAGTATTTACAAAAAAATTGTCTCGACAAATTTATGAACAAATCTTATAGGAAACTCGGAAATATTTTAATATAATTCTAAGCAATAAAGGCAGAATAGACAAGTATAAGAAATTAAAATAAAAATCAGAACAAGTTCTTCGATTGATAAAAAAATGACGGCATGGTGTCAGCTAAATTAATAAATAGATACATAATGTAGAATACAACCAATTTCATAATTTATAAAACAATAATTGGCCTATTAACGAAATAAAACATCTTCTACTTTATTCTATGAAATAAAATATTAGGTACCAAACGCCTGATAAAAATATTCCGAAAAGGAATATCAGAGATACGAAAGCAAAAAAAAACAGAAAATTTACCCAATCAATTTATTTACGCTATGCAATACGAAAACGTAGAGCTGCCATACACTGCGAAATATTTAAAAAAAAAATTAATTTTTTCTGTAAATTTACACTTTTTCTGTAAATTTACACTTTTTGTGACCATTTACACTTTTTCTGTTAATTTCCTGCGAAATTTACTACTACCCAGCAATACGACGCCCGGGGTTTCATGGATTACATGTTTTAATTGGAACTACATTTTTATTAATTTGTACAATTACGAGTTCTATTTTAAGTAGTGAGAAGCGAGCCATATTCTACGCAGCGCCGGTTATGTTGCCATTGTGCCGACGAAATACATGGGTGTCAATTTGAAATCGAACAGCAGTAAATTTACAGAAAAAGTGTAAATTTACACAAAAAGTATAAATTTACAGAAAAATTTTAAGTTTACAGAAAAAGTGTAAATTTGCAGAAAAAGTGTAAATTTACAGAAAAGTTGTTGTAATGATTACAACTTAAAGAGGCCCCAAAACCTTTTTTTTGGGGCACAACTGTATTTCCTGCGCTGGTGGAATTATAAAAGAAAACACAAATTTGGTTAATTTCACTTCATTTGAAAACATTTAAACATTACACTTCAGATTAACACAGTAGATATTAAACATTTCAAAGTACATTGATTTTACATGGATTTTACAAGGGTGAGATGATTCCTGAAGGGACCACCTTCCTTCACAGAAAGATGCAGACGCAATCTTGGCAGTGGTTGAGCGCCAACTGCGCGATGACTTTACAAGTGACAATATGTCATAAAGCCATAGGCAATTTTTTGCGTTACATATATTACAAAAGAAGTACCAGCAAGGAACTGTCAAAAACTATAAAATATTATTATTAATAGTTCAATATTATAAATTGAACATACTGCCGCCCCATTGATTCTTCGTAAGAATCAATAGAATGAAAGGAGGCAAAAATTTCAGAAAATTAACTCAAAATATGGAAGAGCAATTTCGCAATTACAAAAAATGAAGTAAAACACTATTTAAGTTTCTTGAACAATTAATGAACTGTTACAGGGGTATGAATAAAAATAAAATAGTGGTAAAGATTAAATAAGTAACCAGAGACATTATAAATAACGTCTACTTAAACCTAAGTGTAATATTACAAACAGTATTGTTACAAAGTAAGGGTTATAGAGTCCCATCATCTGAAGAAGGGAGAGGGCATAAATCAGTAATATTTCTTGTGTAAATTCCCGTTTGAGTTCTAACTTTAACTAATCTAACTTTTGTATCTCTACTGGGAATTAACTCAATGACTCTAGCCAGTGGCCAGTGGAGCGGTTTAGTATTTTCCTTTTTTAAAAGAACAATATCATTAAGTTTTATACTTTCTTTAGCAACATACCACTTGGGTCTATTTTGTAAATGGTTGAGGTATTCTACAGACCAGTATTTCCAAAATAGTTGTTGAATTTTAATGCAGCGTTGCCAACGCTTAATTCGATTTTCACGAAGTTCAGAAATATCTTTTTCGGGATATGATGTAAGGCTGGCACCAATTAAAAAATGCCCAGGGGTTAATACTAATAAATCTGAAGGGTCTGATGACAAGGGCAAGAGAGGTCTTGAGTTCAATATTGCCTCTATTTGGCACAGAATTGTAGAAAGTTCCTCGAACGTAAAGTGAGAGTCTCCAATCAGTCTACGAAGATGGTGTAATGATTACAACTTAAAGAGGCCCCAAAACCTTTTTTTTGGGGCACAACTGTATTTCCTGCGCTGGTGGAATTATAAAAGAAAACACAAATTTGGTTAATTTCACTTCATTTGAAAACATTTAAACATTACACTTCAGATTAACACAGTAGATATTAAACATTTCAAAGTACATTGATTTTACATGGATTTTACAAGGGTGAGATGATTCCTGAAGGGACCACCTTCCTTCACAGAAAGATGCAGACGCAATCTTGACAGTGGTTGAGCGCCAACTGCGCGATGACTTTACAAGTGACAATATGTCATAAAGCCATAGGCAATTTTTTGCGTTACATATATTACAAAAGAAGTACCAGCAAGGAACTGTCAAAAACTATAAAATATTATTATTAATAGTTCAATATTATAAATTGAACAGTTGTGAATTTATAGAAAAAGTGAAAATTTACAGAAAAAGTGAAATTTACAGAAAAAGTGTAAAAGTTACCGAAAAAGTATAAATTTGCAGGTAAAGTAATTTTTTTAAAATATTTCTCAATTTATTTAAAATCAATTCGCGCAGCCGCCAGAATACGTCTCTAGGAACTTCGCCACGGCTCCAGTACTTTCTAAAACTTCGACCGGTGGTTTCCACATACGTATCTTGGGGAGTTTCAGAGATTGACTAATTGTATGGAATATTCTTGGTAACCGGAAGAGAGGAGGATGTAAAAGGCTCAAATAAGGCAGAAAGAGACGGATTACAGCAGGACCGGACTTTTTCAAAATGGCTCGCACGACAGTATTTAATAAAAACGAAACGTCTCAAACAACCCGAAAAATAACAGTTGCCAGTAGTACCAGTCAAATCAATGCAATGCGTTCAAATTCTACAAGACATAAGCTCCGCATGCGGGATAGAATTAGGTTAATTAATCGGAAATACTGTAACAATATTAATGATTGTTGCAGAATTCGTTCTTAGACAGGTTATTTAATTTCTAATTACACAGTAGTCTGTGAAGAGTAGTGTGTTTACTTTCGAGAAACCAAAATTTTTAATATTGATCCAAATTTAAAAATGTTTTTACGAAAATCTTTCTTATCAAATTTTAAACAACTTTTAAAAATGTCCCTCCGTCCGATGTCACGCTTTTTGTCCGCACTATAATTCAACGAAAAATGTTATCAACTTTTCTAGAAAAATCAAGCTCTATAAGGGGAAAGCCTATTGATTAAAAAAAAGAAATGGAGGTTAAGGGGGGTTTCAATATTAAAAAAAAAATCCTAACTAAAAACCGAGAAATGTTTAGGAAAATCAAGCTCTATAAGGGAACGAAGTCTATGAATAAAAATGAAAGTTAAGGCGGGTTGAAATTTAAACAAATCAAAATCGATAACGAATAGCAATATCAACTTAAATGTTTTAGTAAAAATTAAGGTCTATAAAAGGATTAAGCCTATTGATTCTGAAAAAAATCTTAAAATTACGGGGGTTGAAATACTAAAAAAATCCTAATTCAAAAACGAAAAATGATGTCAATCAACTTGAAATTTTTAATTAAGGGAGGTTAAAATTAAAAAAAAATAGAAAACAAAATGCGATATTAACATGAAATTTTTGGTAAAAATCTGAATAAAAATGGGTGGTTTAAAACTGGTTGAAATATTAAAAAAAAACTAACGATATCATCTTGAAATCTTCAGGAAAAATCAAGCTCTATAAGGGGATGAAGCTAAAAAAATTGATTAAAAATGGGAGGTTAAGGGGGTTTGTTAAACTGTGAGGAGTATAAGAATTCCAAGCATTATACATTCTAATATTTATACACTGATCTCTGTGCCTAGGAAACTACACGGTTATGGTCCAGAACCAGGTAATTAGTAATTGCCATTGTAACATTACACAAGAATCAGACAAAAATCATTTAATATGAGCAATTCTGTCATCAAAAATTAAATTACAACCGACAAAAGACTATTTGACACAGTTAATATAATATATTAAATATTAACTGACCTTAACCTAAGTACTAGGACCAGAAGGGCATCAGGGCAATGAAAAGGATAATGAATTAACCCGTAAACGCTCAAATAAGGATACTGTAGGGTTAATATATCATTATGATAATAATTAGGTTTGCTTATCGGACACTGTCCCCTAAGAAGTCAAATGAATTGCACTAATCGAGCAGAAAAAATACTACACCGGTTGTGTGAAGAAGAGGAACTATCAATGTATGGGCTGTGCTAATGTAAAAGTTTGATTAGTTTAAGATACAGCTGTCTAAATTAAATACTCGAAAACAATTGTTAGGATGCTGCAAGCCGTTTCCATCCTGTTGATCCAGTCTGTTTTATATTCATATTTATTTTATTTTATTTTGTTTTATAGGTAACTGAAGATGAGTTAAGTTTGCCCAAATCATTTTTGGGAGATCTGACAGCTTCCTATGGAGGATATTTAGTTGCAGAAGTAGCTGGTGGATATTTTGACGTATTTTTGGAAGGAAATAATGTGAAATTAACCGTTACCGATAACCTGAACGAACTACAATTGATAGAATCTAATAGATGGAAAGTTTCTTCAAGAAATTTAGATTTTCCTGAAAGTTGCATTGACAATTTAACAAGAACATGTTTCATGGTTATATTGCAAAATGTTACATCATTTATTATTAGGGCTAATAATAGGTAAGTCATCTACTAACATAATTAAGAAATAATTTTAAGAATAGCTAAAATTTATCCGTATTGTATTTACTTTTCGTTAAGCGAACATTTTATAGGAACCTACTATTATAACACGAAATTAATCTTCGTTCAATGTGAAGTATAAATGGTTGTATTAGGGAGAGTTAAGTGAGTAGTCGAAAACGTCTGTCTAACACGATACACAAACAACGGTATGCCGGTACGCATGTAGCAGTCTATCTCTCTCCCACAACGTGACGTCACCTTGGATTCAGAATTTTAAATCTTTAATGTAAAATACGTATGGAGAAGTACAATTTCGGTCACGATAATTTTATTTAAGTTTTTAATAGATAGTTTCATATCTGCGGTAATAAAGTATAATAATTGCTATTTGCAAATACAATTTGTGTGTGTTTATTTAATGTTTATACCTATCAGGCATGTGCTAAAGGCGGATCGCGGGAAGAATATTCTGGGATAGCTCGACAAAAATCTAATTTTTAAGTTAAATTATATTTAAAAAGGATCTATAAAATATATAATTTTCATTGTTTAATAGAAAAAAGAAATACATTTCATTGTAATCAAATAAATTGTTTTTTAAGTTAACTGGTGATATTATTTATAACTATTATGTAAAAAAAACCATTTTCGTGGAAAAAAATTTGCTGTTTTATAAATATCGGAACTACTATGGTAAGAAAAATACAACAGATTTAGAGTTTTTATTTGAAACAATATTGTTGGTTATACAGGGTGATTTACAAAACTTGTAGTTTCTAAAATAATACCTAATTATTTCTTATTTGTGAATTTGGATAGCTTTTTTTCCAGTTTTCGTTTGCAGTTGTTGAAACTTATCTTCCTGTTAATATCCCTTAATCTAATATACGTTCGTGTTCTACTTAAACACAAAATTACTTCAAATTGCACGGGTGTCTTTTGCAACTGAGCTGCAGTTCTTTTAGCTAACTTATTGAATATATCTTTCTCTTTGCTTAAAGACTGCCCGTGCATTTTGTAAAATTCGCCTTCTAGAACTTGCGCAACTTGCGTTTGGCATTATGTGAGAGCTGATATGGAAAGTAGATTTATAATCGCACAAGGGTGGAAACTGGAAAGTAGATTCCTATTCATACGCGTGTGATGATAATAAGGGCACTTTCCATAAAAAGTGTGATATGTGTCCCTTTCCTAAGTGGTCGTAAATAGGAGCTTGTCTTAAAACACCTACCTATCTCATTTTTTAAATTAACGGTATCTAATAAGGTTCTTACTTACCATTTTTTAAATTAATTTTATCTTCCCGCCGACAAGCTTGTATCCACTGCTTCGCCAAATCTTCATTTTTTGGAAATCCAAAGTATTTTATGCCCGTTCCTTGTTTTTCTGTTATTATTTTTACATGTCGCCACTGCACAGCTCGGCATTTTTCTTAAAATGTATATTACTTTTAAATTGATATATTTACAAATTAAACGTACGTTGTAATAGTTAACACATAAACAACAAACACAAAGACTCACTACCCGATATTATACAAAAATCGAACAAAATTCTAACAATAACCATTTAAATTTAAATGTGACATTTATGTTTTGAATCCATAGTGACGTCATGCGCAGAGACGGTCGAATTTGAGTTTACAAATCAGCATACCGTTGTTTGTGTATCGTGTCTGTCTAATTATCAAATCGATCAACATGACTATTCATTACTAATCAGCTGATCGGTCATGGTCAGTCAGAACCACGGTGGCCTCACCACGGTTGCGCAGGACGCAGTGACGACACGGAATGAAAAAGGAAGTTGACAGAAAATATTCTGCATTAGTTTTTTTGAAAAATCTAATATTTTATTATTATTTAGTGGTGTTTATATTTTTATTTTTGAACTGGTGATTTTTTTGAAAGATGAGCTACAAAACAGCCAGAAAAAATCATGTAATGATTTCCATCAAATTTCAAATGAATTACTTTTTATTTGAATTATAAAGAGAGATATTATTGTGTGAATGGTTTATTTTAAACATTTTGGGTTAGGGTACGGCCTCCGAGCTGAATTCGGATCACACTTTGTTTGTATCCCGAAATATTTTGAAATTTTGACAAGCCTGGAGCTTTTTACTTACTTTTTACATACAAAAAATCGTTAGAAGAAATAAAGGGACTGAGCCTAAATTGAAATATCATTCATTATTATTAAATTAATTGCAGCTTTTTCCACCCTACATTTAAAAGCAGACAACATGGTTTGCCTTACAATCTTTTTGCTTTTATTATTTATAAAATATTAAAATATAAGTGCGGAAAGTAACCTTTTTCACATGAGTGGAAATTATTGTTCACGCGAGTGTAAAATATTACTTTCGCACATTCCTACGACCAAAAAACAATTTTATCAAAAACAAAAAATTAAAAACTAGAAAATCTGACTATAGATGCTTGACGGATGGTGGTTTCTACAATAATTTTTAAATAACGACATAAGTTCCTATGTTTCTGAGATGCTCAGCACATAGATTAGGTCTGTATGAATATGCTGATCTATACTCCAGATTAGGAATTACAACTTTACAGAACCGGAAACCTCAATTAGATTTATTATTTAAGCTTTAGTAATACTCTTCTGATATTTTATCAAACATTTGTTGTAAAATTAGTGAGACCAGATCTAATGAAATTTTTTATGTTGGATGCCATAGTCGAAATTACGTGTTTTATAGTCCATTAACACGCGATTGGTTAGAAGTGCTAACAGTATTAATATAGACTTGGATCTATACTTTATTTTCAAGAAGTATTACCTACTTAACCACTTTCTTAATAACATACAAAAGTACTGCTTGTTGTTCCTATACCTCTTTAATCGATTTTTTTTTATTGGTACCCTATTTTACTTATTTAAAGTACGCCTCAGCGTGTTTAAAACGAACTTTAAAAAACACGCGTTTTAAAGTTACCATGGCAACATCAACAACCCGAGAAACGTGATGTCTAAATGCCAACTTTTTAAATATTGATCTGACAGGAGTGCCTTGTAATGTCAAATAAAATATTTCTGAGAAATTTTTCAAAAAATGTATTTATCAGCTAAGCGTAAATCGCACAATTCACATTTTCTACAAGAGCCAAAGATGCCACAAATAGCAACCACCTTCAAAAATAAATACGTAATATCCGGTACATCTGTAAAAAACTTCCGCAAATCGTCTTCCTCGAATACATATGCCTTCTTGACTACCTCATTTTTGCTAATTGCCTTCATGACGAACGATTTTATATCGACCCCTTTGTTTATCCTCAACATGTAATTTTGAATGGATAGTCCACATAGTCGATACTTTATACTGTTCCGACATTTTCTGGAGATAAGCGAGAACAACTCGTTCATCTATATGTGTAACCATTTGCTCTTCCATCCACGTGTTGAATTTATCGTATTCTTTTTTATAAACCGCTTCGGATTTTTGTGGTATTAAGCGCGATTCTGCTTTATTATTTAAATACTCAATATTTGAACTCATTTTAAACAATAACAACTGTTGCGACAAAATCTTACGTGATAGATTGAAAATAAATTTTTGTTTGTCTCATTTTCATGCCAACGAGGTATACTGATGTTACATCACAAATTCGACCATTTTTAGTTGTTAGTTCTAATTTCCATTTTTTTGTAGAAATAATACCAATATTTAGGATTTCAAAGTATACCAATAAAAAAAATAGCGTAAAGTATTCGTGGATAACTGGTCTTTAAAACACTTGCTCTATTTCGAGCGTGTGTTTTAAGGACCGTTATATCCACTTATACTTTAATATACTATTTATACATTTTATTTTTTTTGTATTCAGTTTTTATACTCATAACAATAATTGTTGCAAAATAGAGTTTTCCCATTAATAAAAATTCTAATTAATATTTCTATTCTTTATTACATCATCCTTTATGTTTAAGCTTTTTACTTTTTTCTTTTATTATAACTTTACCAAATATAAATAATGCATCTGACATATTTGATACCTTATACGAAAAGTAAATTCTTATCCATTCATGGGTTCATGGGTGAAAGTAGATTGTTATCCACAGGCGGAAAATAAATTTTTATCTACACACGCCTATTATAGGACACTTTCCATAGTACTAAAATTTCCCATGGAGTCGTAAGAAAAATTGTTATATTTATAGTAGCTAAATTAGTTCTAATCTTAATTTTAGAATTAAAGAAATTCTCCTAGATAAAGCCACAAGTGAAATTTCTGCATATCCCAAAACGCATTCAGTCGAAAAATGCAAATGTCCGCCACAGTACACAGGACTTTCATGTGAAGATCCTAATGAAGGCTATTATCGATATTTCTCTGAAGACTCTAATCTTCCTTGGATTGATCGCATTATAGGAATAGCTAAGAAATGCGAATGTAGAGAGCACTCAAATGATTGCGATCCAGAAACGGGCCATTGTAAGGTAAGAAGGAACTAAATTATTATCTCACTATCCTATTTTATAAATCTCCTAATGATTGTTAAGCGGTAGGTATACGATAAAAATAATGGGCTAAGATATTACTACCACTAGAGCGAGATACTGAGACGAGAGAACCACATATTATGTTGTTATTTCGTTTAAAGAAAATTTGCTAGAATTTTTATATTTATATTTTGCTTTGTTGTGCCTCTTAACCTAATCAAAGTTTATATTCAATCTACTAGAATTATTTGTTTTTTATTTTGCTTCATAAGGCCTGCTAGAATCTAGAACAGATTTTTTTTCGAAAATTACCCTACCCTAACTAATTTCTTGCCTACCTAGATAAATATAAACCAATATTCTCAAGTAGATAGGCTATTATAACAAATTTCCGTGAAAATACATTGTCCAATAAAATTCTAAGCCTAACAGGACCTAATTAAATTCCTAAAACTTCCTAAAACAAGCAAAAAATTAAATAGTGGCATGTGCTTCCCGACCAACTGCTTCTCAAGTATCTCTGTATCTATTTAAACTCCTTTGGGAGACCCTAAATAAATTGATTTCTTAAAAATTAATGTAAACTATTTTTTTAATCCCCAAAGATAAAACAAATTTAAAGGAAAACTAAAGAATCGAATCCACCTATTCGTGTTCTACGTACACTGCCTTAAAAATTCGGCTATCGGGACATTTCATATCCGACTTCCAAATGTATAATTTAAAAACAAGATTCGAATCCAAACTCAGTGATAGAAAATTTCAAATTTCAAATCCTCTAAGGATCATATGAGACCTCTATTAGCTTGTCAACCAGTCTACAGATTTAATGTAGTTGACAACATCGCCAAGAGGTGACACTATTTTGTCGGCCTATGTTATCCAAAACTCAACGCACACAAATCTCCTAATAGATGAGAGCGTCGATCAGGCAATGGTAGAGTATCATCTTGTTCGCAGCTTCTACAGAGTGAGGAGTCTGACACGTTCTATGCTATGTAGGTGCTTCATGCTTCATTACTTGGCAATGACCAGTCAGAATGCCTGTGATCAGGTGCAGATCAGCTTCTTGTTTCGTCCCACCTTTCCTTGAATTTCACAAGGGAATATTCTTTAATTAGGTTTGTCAGGATCGATGTTATTATTCCAATGGAAACACCACGTCGAAAAAGTATTTGGTAGTTAACCAGCTATCTTTCGATGTAGAATGACATTTGTTTCATCTTACGCTAAATGCACATGACGTATAGTTTGCCGTGTTGCGAATGACACGCGGCACTGAAATACATTTTTTTAAACGGTGGAATTCACACGAACTTCCATTTGGCAGTGTGAATTCCACAATTTAAATAAATTGTTATTTCGATGCCGCACCTCATTGCGTAGAATTCGCAGCACGGCAAATCATACGTCGTGTTCATGTAGGGTTAAGGTGAGTTTTGTATACTTCTTAAGTATAACCATAGAGTAATGTCTATTATTTTACTAAACAATACTATACTAGTTAGTTCTGTAGCAAAAAATGTCAACAAACCAACTTTTTTGGAATAGTTAGGTAGGTTTGAAATGAGTAGGATGACCGATGGGGTATATGGCGATGTGCCTTTCACTGCGACCCATTTTGATCTATTATGGTTCATTCCTAAGTTATAGTTCACCGTACAAACCACATCTTTTGATGAAGGTCGTGGTCGAGGGTAAGACTTTTGTAAAATCTATGTGCAAGCTCCGATCTAGAACCTAATTCTTTCCCAGGTGGATCAAGCACATAGAATGTGCTCTTCAAATTCTTCTTCAATGCTGTAGAATTGATTGTCCGATGTTAGTTGCAGACCTATCCTTCTCATTTGGTTACCTAGACGTCAGTGTCCTCTGTCCCGTGATAGATGATTCCTATTACATTCCTGGATTTAAGCAAAGGCGTTTATAGAAGTGTTAGATATAAACACTTTCGAATGAGTCACCATTTTACCATCTTTTAAGAGGAATGGTTCTGTTCCTATATTTTTTTTTCTTTTAGCAAGCGCGGAAAAAGAAAACGTACTAAGATTGCTAATAGCTATTTTTACTATATTTACTTATTGCTGTATATTTTAAATCACAAACACAGTTTTTATATTTATTTATTTACTTATTTATTTATGATTTTTAGAATTGTACGCATCATACTACTGGAGAACATTGTGAAAAATGTGACGATGGCTATTATTTAGATAAAAAAGGAGAGTGCAAAGCTTGTCTTTGCCCTTCGGCTGAACAAAATAATGCTAAAACATGCACTACAATAATTGGAGGGGGTTTTACATGCCAATGCAAGAAAGGTAAGTATTTCTCCCTATTCTCATATTAGAAAAAGAATCTGATAATAAAGTACTTTAGATATGATAATTAAAGCAGAACATAGTGGCTCATTCATTCGGAAAAAGGAAAGATGTTTTATTGTAAACATTTATTTAATATTCTTATTTTTTTCAACGTAAAATAGATCCTTAGGGTCATTACTATAGTTGACGCGCCGAAGAGATGCAGCAATAAAACTGTGTGATCAACATGTGTTAAGTGCTAGGCCGCCAAAACTTTCTTTGACCAGGTTATAGGCCAAGAGCAGGTTTTTATAGATTAGTATGAGATGAACCGTGTCTATTTTTAAGTCAACGGTCGAACAGAAAACGGTTCGCTTTGAACTGATAAACTAAAACACTCGCCTAGTCGTTGATGATTTTCAGACAGCAATCGGACACTCATTTTAGGCTGATATGCACGTGAAGTGCATATGAACACTGCATCTCTTCGACGCGGCAAGTATTTATAGTGAGTGATGTTACATATAATGCGAGCACTAAATCTTTCGAGAAAGAAAAATTGAATCTTTCGAAGATAGTGCATTTCTCTGGATTAGTTCGGGCCCCACGGGCCCGAATGAATACTTTAAATTTCGTATCAGACAGACAACACGTACTTCAGTTCTTTTTATTTATTAATTAATTATTGTGAGACATGTCGTTCAAGCGACAACAAATGTTGGTACTGCCGGAAAATTTGTGAAAAACCACTTTACCGTAGCTAAATTTTTCAATTTCCCTACACCATTCGATAGGACAATTTTAAAAACGCATGTATTTAAGTTTTTTTATATATTTCTGAAAAAATTGAATCAAACACATGGTAGATTGTGAAGAATATCGAATATTATACTTGAATTTTTAGATTTTTGAAAAATTTCGATATAGAAATTTGAAAACGCATTTTATTAATAATTCATGATCTGAAAAAAGTTTTTTATTTCCTCCTCATCTTATCATGTGATACATCAATGAACGCGCCTCGACGAGCCGGACAATTCTTTTTTTAAAGTAACGTTTTTCCCGGAAAAGCGTTCTTCCCAAAATTAAATGCAGAAGTGCAAGGTAATAATTATCCAAAAGATATCAGAAATATTATCACAGAAAAAAGGAAAATTAGAAGAAAATGGCAACAGTCTAGAGCACTCGATAATAAAACAACTTTAAATAACGCAACACAATAGCTAAAACGTAAAATACGGCGCATTAAAAATTGGTCGATTTGCGAATACTTAAGTTAATTCCCTAACGATAAAAGTACCGATTATACACTCTGCAAAGCTACCAAACGATTAAAAAGCCCTACCCTACTATACATAACCAACCAATCATAAATAGAGATGGAAGCTGGGCCCGAAACTATTTGCAAAAAGCAAACAGACTTGCGCAACATTTAGAGAGTACCTTCCAAACCAATAATGGTGAAGATCTTCAGGGCTGTATGGAACTAGCACAGTCGTTAAACCCACCTCTACAAAACAAGTTTATATGGAAATCTGAAAAAGTCCCTGGATTTAACCTCGTTACTGAGAAAATTTTGAAAATGCTTCCACAGAAAGCTATTGTCAAAATTGTCAATCTCATCAATGCGTCCTTTAGGCTAAAGTACGTACCAAAGATGTGGAAGGTGGCAGAAGTTATAATGATACCTAATCCAGGTAAACTTCTCCATGAAGTTACATCGTACATAACCATCTCCTAGTTACTTGTTATCTCGAAACTCTATAAAAAATTACTTCTTAGGAGATTGAAACCTATAATAGAAGAAAAGGACCTAATACCCTCCCACCAGTTTGGCTTCAGAGACCATCGACCAAGTTTATACAATCACAGATATTATTGAAAATTCCCTAGAAGAAAAAGTTTGCTCCACCGTGTTTTTAGATGTTGCTCAGTCTTTCGACAAAGTATGGCATGAAGGCCTGATTCAAAAACTGAACATGCTCCTCCACGTCAATACTCTCAGCTATTAAAATCCTATTTATCAGAAACATATCTCAGAGTTAAACAGGAAAAAGTCTATGCCGACGTAAGAGAAAGATAAATTAAGGCAGGAGTACCTCAAGGTAGTGTACTAGGTCCAGTACTCTACTTGTTATATACCAGAGGTATCCCTAATCTTGAGCCCAACACTATCGCATCATTTGCTAATGATACTGCAATCCTTGCTGTTGGAAAAAATCACGAATAAGCTTATAGAAAATTGCAAAAATCTATAAACCAGATTAACACCTGGACGAAAAGATGACGAATAAAATTGAAAGAAGGCAAATCTGTTCATATCAACTTCAGTTATAAACAAAATGAATATATTCCTATTAGAATAAACGACACTCAGATCCCTTTTGCCAATACAGCATAATATCTGGGTATGACACTAGTGCTAGATTTCGCTGGAAAGTTCATATTAAAAATAAAAGCTAAGAGCATGGTATAAAATACAAGACAATCTATTGGTTGCTAGGAAAAAATTTCAAATTGTCCACATACAACATACTGCTTCTTTACAGATATGGTATCCAGCTTTGGGGCTGTGCCAGTAAAAGTAACATCTAATGCTGCGTTTGAGAATCCACATCGGATGCATTTTTTACATCTCGAGCGTTTTTTTATCCACATCGGACACATCTGTCCCATTACATTTACGTATACTGAATCACGTGATCAAAGATTTTTTACATCTCAGATGCATCCGATGTGGATTCTCAAACGCAGCATGAGTTATTCAACGTTTCCAGAATAAAGTATTTAGGAACATCCTCGATGCACCCTGGTACTGCCGCAATACTGGGACCTCATAATGGAGACTGTTAAAATTACAATACAAAAATTTACCAGTAGTCACCAACAACGACTGCTCCAACATGGAAACGTTGAGGTTATCCAGCTCCTCAACAATTCTAGATAAAAGCAGAGTATAGTGCGGTTTAGTGTTATACGTTAATGGTATTATAACTGAATAATTAGACTCTAAGATTTTTCATCCTTAGACAAGTTAGGTTAGAATAAAATTGCTAATTGATCTTAATGATCGGATTGTAATAATCGTAAATGCTTCTTTAATTGCGGCATTTATTAAAAATATATATTTATATATTGCGGAGAATGTCGGGTAGTACACTCGATTTTTTATTTTTTTTTTTTGCAAAATTAATCGGAAAATTCGGGAAACGGCAGGAAATTTTCGGAAACAGAAAAATCCGCTGTCAAAATAAAAGTTGTTCATTCCAGCCGGAAAATTGGTGGAAAATCACTTTCCCGAAGAAAAATTTTAAATTTTCTGACGTGATTCGACAGAGAAAACTTCAGTGTTTCGGAAGGAGCGAAATTCGTAACAGACGGACAGACAACACGTATTGTGGTTGTTTTTTAATGTATATCTTCTACTTTATTATACGAGTAAATGTTTACGAGTTCATAATTCATTGAAATTAGATATATTCAATTGTGAAAAAAGATATTTAAAAACTAGTCAAATCATAATTTATAATTTTTTCATGTAAAATTTTAACAAACTGTAACAAAATGATAAAGTTTCTACCGGAAACAACCCGGGCATAATCAAGTATTTGTTTATTATATTTCCTTCAATCGTTTAATCATTAGATTATTTTTGCTTAACTTCATGGTTTAATAAAGTTGAAATTTACTTTTAGATACACACACACTAGATAATTTCCTATAACAATGTTAATATATTTTTAGGTTATACTGGACTATCCTGTGATAAGTGTGATGCCAAATATTATTCACCAACCAATTCTTCCCTCTGTGTACCATGCGATTGCAATCAATATGGTGTAATTAGTGGAGACACCGAAATATGTGATGAAAAAGGAATTTGTCGCTGTAAAGAAGGATTCACAGGTGACAAGTGCAATCAGTGTGTAAAAGAAAGAGAATATATTGAGAATGGAGTATGTAAATGTAAGTATATTTTTATAAGTATTTATGTTTTTACATAAATTATAGCTGGAAGGAACATGCTCATCTATACAGATAGCAGACAAGCACTACTCACCCTGAACAGACCTCGAATTTACACAGGGTTAGTACTAGAATGTCACGAAGCTTTGGCCGAAGTATCTATCAACAATGTGGTTACCTTAAGACGAATCAAAGGTCACTCCACATCGAAAGGTCTTGCTGATTCACTAGCCAAGAAAGCAGCCAACCAAATACTTTTTGGACCTGGCCCTTCTATTGACCTGAAAAAATTAGTAGTGACAGACCTAATCAAAGAACATTCCCTTGTGAAATTCAAGGAAAGATGGGATGAAACAAGAAACTGCAGAGTTGCCAGGGAGCTCTTAAGTTATCCTGACAACACTGCAGCAAACAAATACTTGATACGACTAGACAGAATCTGCGCCCAGTCACAGGCATTCTGACTGGTCATTGCCAAGTACAAAAGCATCTCCATATCATGGGGCTATCAGAGTCCGCACTCTGTAGAGGGTTCGAGCATATCCTTTACGATTGTTCGACGCTTTCATTTATTAGAAGATTTGTGTTCGGCGAGTATCGGCTAACACCGGCCGATATAAGAAAAGCACCTCTTGGCGACGTTGTCAACTACAATAAATCTGTAGGCTGGCTCACGAGCTAGAATGTGCCTATCATCTCAGGAGGATGCACAATGGGCATAATGAGGCCTAAGTGCCGTGGGGGTAACCCACCCTCCGCACGTTACAGTTACAGAGAGATAGCTGTTAGATATCTAAATAAATCGGTGTTTCTTGCTATGGATAATATCTTTCAGTAGCGCTTAAACCAATGGTTTTTAGATTGCTTTTTTAGATCTAAATGACCCTTTAGGAAGCCTGATGCTGTTTATATTTAAAATTATAACTACTGGATTTTTTTGCACAATGCCCCTTAATAAGAAGCTAAAATGATTAAACCATTTTTCCAGTAATCCATGTATCAAAGAAGAACAGGTTCTGTGAGAAGATTTTCTGGTAAACTTATCAGCTTAAGTTCGCACAGTATTGCTATATACAGGTATACTCAGACTAATTTTATACCATTCCTCCGCCTTAAATGCAACAGATGATTCGTGAAATGGTCCTGAAATACAAATGATAAAGCTTCCTGACTATCATAGCAAATCACTGTTTACTGGTTTAAGCATAGCAATACTTCTGCCCGGGAAACGACGAAACAATGAAAAGTGAAATAGTGTTTCGTCCTTGGGTCCACGCCACAAACTCCATCCCAAGAAAAAAAAATGGAAATTCACACACTTTCTTAATACGCCTTAAACTTGTATCAGAAGCCTTGTATATATTTATGTTTGTTCTTCGTTCTAGATTTAGTATTTTGATTGCAACGTGTGGTCCTCTTGCTTCCCATATAATAAAATACATTTCTAATTGCTTCTTACGTGTCATTAGTCTTTAAAATTATGTTTCTTTCAGCTTGTGACGAGTGTACAATGATACTCTTTAAAGAAATAGATAGCATGAAACTAGACATAGAAAATATTTACGAGATGTTCAGAAATGGAGTTGGGCCACCATGGAGAAAGTTGACAGAGAATCTAAACAAACATAACATGTTATCAGAAAAATATAAATCGAAGCAAAAACAATACGACGATGTATTAAAAGGCAATCAAATTGACCAACTTGAATTCAAAGTTGAAGAATTAGAAGACAAAATTATAAATAATAACGAATTATTAGAAGATAATATAAATAACGCAGATAAATTAACAGATAATTCAACTAGATTACTAAAAGAAACTGATGATTTAAGCAAAAAACTTGTTAGTATTATTCAGTCACTTGAAAACTTTGGAACTAAACATGTAAATTTAAAAGAAGCACTCTCCAGAGCTCGTCAAATATTAAAGCAAATTCAGAATTCTTCCAAGCTCATAAATAACTTAAACAATAAAGATATTTTTGAATATTGTTCCTCAATAAATAGAAAAGTAGATGTTTTATATGGACATCCTCCAAAAACCCCTCCTATTAACATAAATGAAATAAAAAGAAAAATTAACAACCTATTTGATCTAACAAATACCATCGAAAAAATAGTTGCGTTAGCTGATGCTAAAAATACAGAAAACTCGCAAAGGCTTGAATCAGTAAAAGAAAAAATAGAAATATTGAAAAGTAAAAATAAACAGTTCAATACTTCGTTTGGTTCTATCTTGGATAAAATAAACAAAACTGAAGACGTTTTGGAAAGTTTGGAGATGGTTTATCAGGATTTAGTAGCTATTTCGAATTTTAAAGAATACGATGAGCTTGACAATAGGATAAAAAGACAAATGGAAGATATTCCGGAAGTTCAGACATTATATGATAAGGCTGTCGATCATGTACAAGAATTGGAAAGAAAAGTTGAAGAATATCATGGGTATTGTAACATTTCATTTTATTAGATTAGTACATATTATGTTAGTACTTAGTAGGAAAAGCGTAATATTACCGCATAATAAATTTACAGAGTTAGATAATGTGCATTTCCTACGAAGTACACATTAGTAAATATACTTTTTACTTTTAACAAGTATGGATTGAACAATATTAATAATACTCCCTTATCTGACTGCAAAAAGTGGCACGTCGTGTTTTTGCTTGCTATTTGCAGTTTGGTAAAGGGGAGCGGATGAATAACATATACTATGTCCCGGTGGTGGGAGATATGTCAGATTCAAAGTAAGCTTGCTTATCGATGGATTTTTCGTTTATTGCTGGCAATGAAATAATATGCTTCTAGATGTCTATAACAATAAAAAAAATCTCTTCGCAAGCATATTTTATCATCCAGTTTTGTTACTTTCGGTGTAAGTGTTGGGATTTCCCTACATGTTGCTCACGAGCGAAATGTGCAGGAGCTCCATCGTGCTGGTAGTACATTTGTTTCGAAGAACATCCTCTAGTAGTTCTTGTAATTGTTTTGTAGAAAATTAAAGTAGTGGTCTCCTGTGAGACGATTATCCAAAATGAAAGGGCCGATAAAATAATTATCGAGCATACCACACGTTTACAGAAAACTTATGTTTAAAATTACTTTCGACTATTGCGTGAGAATTTTCGTTTGACCATACACATGATGGTTACTAGTATTATTAATACCCCGTCATGGGTAAATTTTATGCGTATCAAGCTAGCAGAGCACCTTTGGATTTTTCACATTCTGAATATGCCATAATTTTAAGCCCATGTTAGTCCTATTTTAGGATAATTTTAATATCAACCTAAAAAAAATGTCCTTTCTTTTAAAAATTAGGTACTTTTCATTAAAAATTTAATCAATGTAAAAAATGATAACGGCTTAATTTTAGGCTCATTTTGGGCTAATTATGTATTACATAAGCATTTTTCTGCTCTTACCTTTATCGGAAAAATTAGATGCTGTGTTAGCTTTACAATACGAGTATATAGTTTTCCATTCAAAAAATTCAAGAAACTAAAAAATAGACACGGCATAATTTAAGACTCATTTTAGGCTAATATTATACCAACGTAAATAAAATTTGGCTCCTGCTTTTATTGGGAAAATTAGGTGCTCTACTAGCTTGGCAATACGAGTTTATAGAGTTTTTCGTTAATTAAATTAAGGAAACTAAAAAATACACGGCACAATTTGAGGCTCATTTTAGGTTAACTCTTTACTAACATATACAAATTTCTACTCTTGCCTTTATTGGAAAAATTAGCTTGAAAATACGAGTTTATAGTATTTTTCGTTCAAAAAATTGAGTAAGCTAAAAAATGGGCACGGCATAATTTTAGGATTATTTTAGGCTAATTCTAGACTGTATAAAAAATTCTTTTGTCGTTATTGGAAAAATTGGATGCACTGCTAGCTTGACAATATGAGTTTATAGAGTGGATTTTTTTATGTTAATGTTGCTTAGCCTAAAATGAGCCTAAAAGGAAAAACTCAATAAAGTTATATTGTCAAGCCATCAGAGAACCTAATTTATTCAATAAAAGCAAGAGCGGAATTTTTTTTATGTTGGTATAGAATTAGCCCAAAATGAGTCTTAAATTATGCCGTGCCAATTTTTTTAGTCTTCAATTTTTTTAATGAACAACTATAAACCTGTATATTGTCAAGCTAGCAGTGCATCTAATTTTTCCAATAAAGGCAAGAGCGAAAAATATTTTATGTTATAGAATTAGCCTAAAATTTTTTGAAAGAAAAACTATTAACTAGTGTTATCAAGCAGAGTACCTAATTTTTCCGATAAATGCAAGAACAGAAATGTTTATATGTCATTAAAAAATTAGCCTGAAATGAGCCTAAAGTTGTCCTGTTTCAATTTGTTAACAAATGTGTTTATAATAATAATATGATCATTTTACTTCTTAAATAAAACGTAGGTTTATAGTTAAACTTGTTTAAAAATGATAATTTACTGATGATAATTTGAATATGTTTCCAATTGTTAGTAATTACGTAATACCAGGCGCGACTCGTGGCCTAGTTTAGGAGGAGGCTACTTTTGAAAGGCACGCCCTATAATATACTTAATACAAATATATATGTCTTATAGAATACAATGTAATATTTCTGCTTTTTGTATTCCAATAGAATTACATATATTTGTATTAAGTTTATAGGATGTGCCTTTCAAAAGTAGCCTCCGTAGCCTCCTCGTAGGCTATCCCACGAGCCGCGCCTGCTTAACACTCACTTTTTACCTACCGTATGCAGTTTATTTATTTTTTCAGTATGTTTAACTTTACAAAAGATGAATGGAAGAAAATTAATGCAGGTGGTGCTTATGAAGCAATCATCAAAGGTATCAAAAAGGCACGGGAGAGTCTTAATCATGCCAAAGAAACTATGGAAAAGGCTAAGAAATTGATAATGCCGGACGATGCTGATAACTTAGATACAAAGTCGAATTTGGCGCAAACTTATTCTGATAGACTGAAACAAAGAATAAATAATTTGAAGAATCTTTCGAAAAGTAAGTGTTGGCTTCGTTTTAAATATTTTTTTTCTCATAAAGTGCGTATACAATAGCAATTTTTTCTAAATTTGACATATAAAGTGGCATTTTTGTAATTTCAGCAAGTGTCAAAATGATATGCTGTACGCAACCAGTTGCCTAATGTTGAACATTATGAAACTGGTTACGAAAAAATTTATTGTCAGTTTCGAAAAGAGAAATAATAAAAATACACCTTTTTGGTTTTAAAATCAACAGATACATTTATTATTGAAAGTTTTTATCAAATAAGAGCTGGTAGACTTATAAAAATAGAATTTGGTTAAACTTACAACCTAGTAATAATATTGTTTTGGTCCTTATTTTTCATTCTAAATCAGCAAAAATTAGAACACAATACACGACAAACCAACTCAGTTTCTTGAAAACTTAATTATTTTAACAAGAAAAATACAAGTCGCTGAGAATAAATTAATATGATTTGCTATTTGTCAACAAAATGAATGAAGTTATGCATATGCAACTAACAATACAGGAAAGTAATATTGGTTGCATAGAAAGTCAGTAATTTTTTATCAAAACAGAATTTTATAAATAATCTAGTCAAAATTAGAAAAAATATTGTATGTAACACGTTACGAAATGCCGTTTTATATAAATCGTTCATGTTGCGGGTCCTCGCTCTGCTCGTCCCGCAAATATTCACTCCTTACATAAAATATGGCATTTCGTAACTGATTCCATAAATAGCAGTTATATCCGATAAAATAGCATATATTACTTTGCATGACCAAAAATTAATAGTTTCGAATATTTTACCCTTTTGTAATTTAAAACTATAAAGCTGTTTCCGTTTTAAAATTTGGTTTCTTTAATTTTTATCACGACAACCGTTTAGCTTAGGTGGCCCTGTTATGTGTCATTTTAATTCCCATTATACCTTACCGATATTCTTCCCATCTTCTTTGAATAACTCCAAACCCTCTAAGACTAATCTCTCTCCTCATCTCACCAATAGGCGCAACTTCTAAACTGGACCTAATAGGTTTATTTCTAATTTTGTTACGTCTTGTGACTCCGCTCATCCACCACAGCATCCTCATGCCAGCAACGTGTATTTTGTACTCTTATCTTCTGGTCAGTGCACAATATTTTGATCTGTCCATTAAGAGTGCTCCAACATCTGTATTTCTCTTACTTCTGAGACACTTGATCCCCAATTTCTCTCTCCACTAAACTAACCTGCTGCCTCTCCGATTTTGTCTATTTGAAAGTTTTTAGATTTAAATGAAATGAAAGGAAAAATAGATCAACTAAAATATAGTATCGTGGAAAATGGCAAGTCAAATAATGAAGTTTCGCAAAATTTGCAGAAGGCTAACAAGCATATTACATCTCAAGCTTATAAAGTACTTAAAGTAGAAAAATCAATTCGAAGTGCATCTGAGGTGTCGGATACAATGAGAGATACTTACAAAAAGATGGACGATATGATTTTCGATAAACAGTTTAACTTTGACAAAAAATATCAGAAATATCAGGAACAAATTAATCCTAAAGGTAATGCTAAGACTAACTAGTATATAGGCTAAATGTATAAAACGTTTCTTTTTTTTTCAGAAATTAAACATTTAAATTCTGATCTAAGATCGGCCAGGGATGCACTTAAAAGTCTACATATATCGCAACCAGAAGATAATAATGTTTTAAAGGGATCGAGCACCAGACTTAATAATTTAGAACAGAAAACCAAAGAGCTTCAAAATCTAATTAATTTAGCTAAGCAACAAGTTGAAGGAGTAAGTCTTTTCCAGCTTTGTTACTACTTCAGCGTATCCACGTAGCAATAAAATTACCAACTCAACTATATAAATCATTTTATAGACCAATCTTATTTGTTTTTATTTTTAGGTTAATGTTGCTATGAAGCTTAAAAATTGTCGTATGAATTATAAACTTCCTAAAACACAGTATTTCCAAAGTCTTGCTATAACATTTAATTGCAAAGATTGTTTACTGTTCAACTGGACAAAAACCACAGAGGAATCTTTTGTAGTAAGAGTTAAAGAAGGACAAGTTATTACTAGTATAGAAGGGAAAGATATCATTATTGATAAAAATGTTTCAGGAGAAAATACTTTGCGAATACAAAAGTTAGTTAGATTTTGAGAAGAATTTATTAGTTCAGTTCTAGCTCTAGACCTTTAGTACATACTGTACATTCTATATTATGCCTTCTTTATCTGGCCAACTTTATTTATATTTCGTTTTTTTAATCACTCTAATAAGTTCCTTGAAGACTTTATTGTTGGAGTTAATATCTTTTAGTACAGTTGCATATGAGTAGATATTATTCTGTTATTAAATGTCAACCATCAATATTTCAAAACTAAATATTTAAAGCTACTTTTTATTAAATTATTTGCCGAGTTATTATAACTTTTAAACTATGTATTTTATGTTTCATAAGATTTTTTACAGCTTAAACAAAATAGAATATATTTTTATAGTTTATAAAGAAATCCGTATTTCATCTAAATATGCATCCATCAAATATGTATCTAAATGGGAAATTAATACACGTCGTGCCGTTGAACTTTAGGAAATCATAAAACATCAAAAACAAAAACCACCGAAGGCAATAACGTTAATAAAATACAGTGTGATATCATCAACTTCCGATTTATAATTAGGTTGTACGACCATCTTATAACACAAAACAACTACCTACAGTTCATCAGGACATTGAATGATAAGTGATATAAAGCGTGTTCGCGACCGAATCTTCCGATACAACAATCTCTTTGAGTTAGCATACATTAAAATGCAAATGTGCCCAGCCAATGAGAAAGCTTCGGAATTGGCCAGGGCGTAGTCTATGTACCGCCAAATCCAAAATTCCTATTTATGTAGTTATGCGGATTTTTTGTTTTAAGGAAATATTTTTTAGAAGCTTTTGTGATATATATTCAAATATTTTAAATTTTAGATGAAAAAAAGAGCTGAATTGCATACATAAAGTAAATTATATAGTGCGTTCATAAAGTGTGGAAACGATCCATTATCTTAGGAGATATAACCTCCGAAAATAATGAACTCTTAAGATAAATAGAGAGTTTCCACATTATGAACGCACTGTATATAATAGAATGTGATTATTAGAATTAATAATTAATATCTATTTTGATACCTGTTACTGATGGAAGTTATTTTTTATGTGTATATTTTTAAATAAATAAAACTAATGAGAGGGAAAATTAAAACGAATACAATAGAGAATATGTTTACTATATTTATTTAAACATTTAGATATAAATGTATTAAAATTAATAATTAAAAAAAAATATGTATATGTATATTTTTAATAAGAAGTAAGATCCAAATTTCTTCGGTTTGTTCCATGTGCACCATCAATACAAATAATCCTTTTAAAGTTTTTTTTTATATAACACCATTCATAGAACCCACTGCAAAATCTTCATCCTGTAATCCAGGGAAACTTTCACCTGAAAATAAAAACCTAACATATACCTGCACCTTCACCATCTATACCTTAGCCATCTACCACTTAACCCTATAAAAATTGCTCATTTTCAAATGTATTTTTATGTACATACCTACCAATTCTTTGCCTGTTCCATTATTCAAATTTTAAAGTAGTAGCTGTCATATCATCAACGTTTATTTTTTTGGCAATATTATACTTATTAAATATGTCTCCTCTCGTTATCAAGTTTATTCTTTCTATTGTATTATTTTGAAATTTTCTGGCATCTTGAATTATCCTGTTTGTCACCCCTGCAGCTAATTGTCCGACTACAATATTTTCTTTAGTCTTTGACAGTCGCTTTTGTTCTTAGCTCATCTGCATATCCGACATGAGTTTCAAGAAATTTTACTTAAACTAATCCTAATAAAAAATATTAATAAAATTAACAATATTGAAATTATTAAATAAATACTACTAATTACCGTTTACTGAGGCTGATAGATTTTATATTTCAGACTTTACAAGAGCTACTAAATCCTTAAAATAAATTTATGAAAAACACATGTTTAATAAGTAAAAGTTGATACAACCATTGAAATCACTTCTATTGCAATTGTAAAATATGGCGTTCTTCACCATTTTTAAATTTGTTTCTGGTCTGACAAGCATAATTAATTTCCCTATTTTCCTGTGCTCTCTAAGATGTAAATTCTTTAAAATTCCTAAAATTTAAAACAGATTCTTTAATAGTTTGTTTAATTTAATTTAAGAATAGTTTTTTTATTAAAAACAGTTTATTTATAATTTATTTATAACTACTACTTTATACTAATTAATTTACTTAGACACAATTATAACTCACAAGTCTAATTTATTTATTACAATTTGTCTTTACTATACAACACTTTTATTCAAACTTAACGTCTACCGACAAAGTCGCGCAATTTATATAAAGCCAGCTCTGTACGAGTACATTCTCGATGGTCTAGAATCTCTGGAATTGCTTCTTCTGAGTTAGCCGATGCGCAACGATTTCTCTGCTAGCTTCTTTAAGAAGTGCGTTTGTCTCTATTCTGTGGTATCGAAACATAAACGAAGCGACGGCTGTAACAGCGAGAGGATCAGGGTCGATCTTAGGTGGTTACACGACAATATAGATTGATCATACATGTTTTTTCAAAACGTATGTTTACCATATTCAACCGCTGAAATTTTGTTTTAAAACACATTTTTGCTAAACCGATTATGATTAATGAGCACTTGCGAGATAATATGGCCTCTCGCAATGCGACCCGCTGTGAGCAATATACGGAGTGGCCCAAAAGTCTGGAAACGGCCAATTATCTCGTAAATTGCTAATCCTAATTGTACAAAATTTGTGGTACACCTATTTTGGGATACGGAGATTCCAGATTTGATATTTGCAATGTTGCCAGAATTGCCGTTTCTCTTATATTATTAGTCACTTTGGTTTTTCAAATTCATCACCCTGTATATTCAGTCATTATTGGAATCTCCTATTCAATACGAGTTCAACCATATGTAACACTTATGATTTTATGTAGTCTGGAAGGTCTTAAATAAATTAAACAATCATGGAGAAATGTGGTAGACGCATTCTACCATCGATTAGTAGGGTACTGTCAACTCACAATTAGGCATTCCAATGACCTGTCCAAATGGCTACCAGTGGGTAATGACAGTTTAGATATGGCAACCCTGTTGTCATGTTGTCATTAACAGGGTCAATGATACATATATAGTTATATAGGTTGCTCAAAGCTGGTCGTTTACGAGCGGCCATATTGCCTGGCAAATATTTTTTAATTTGAATCGGTTTAGCAAAAATGTGTTTTAAAACCAATTTTTAGCCTTTAGATATTTAAAAAAAATAATTGCTTACATTTTTACTTCAAGGCATAAGCTTATGTTTATTTTGAAAAATATGGATGATCAATCTATGTAACTATCTATTTTATTGACCTTGTCAAATCACCAGGCCTACAGGGTTGCCATAATTTTGCCATATCATAACCCCGTCAGAACCCACTGGTAGCCATTCAGTTTGGAATGCCTAATTGGAGCACATTTTGAACATTTGATAAAGTAATCATTATGTTAAAAATGTTATAATCTTTCATTTGTTACGTTTTAATGTAGTTGAAAATAGTTTGTATTAAATAATTTATTGAGACAATTAGGCGTTGCCAGACTTATTTTATTTATTGAAGACCTTCCAGACTACATAAAATCATAAGTGTTACATATGGTTGAGTTCGTATTGAATAGGAGATTCGAATAATGACTGAATATATAGGGTGATGAATTTGAAAAACCAAAGTGACTAATAATTTAAGAGAACCGGCAAATCTGGCAACATTGCAAATATCAAAACTGGAATCACCGTATCCCAAAATAGGTGTAAGTACCCCAAATTTTGTACAATTAGGACTAGCAATTTACGAGATAATTGGTCGTTTCCAGACTTTTGGGCCACTCTGTATATTAGTTTATAGTATTATATAGTATACCTAGTATATCATTGACTCTATCAAAGCCAATATAGGCAGCCCCATTTCTACAGGTCGTTTAAATGTCTAATACCAAAGCATTGTACATAAACAAGACGACTATAGTTGATGCGCCGAAGAGATGCAGCAATAAAACTGCGTGACCAACATGTGTTAAGAGCTGGGCACTCAAAACCTCCTTTAACCAGGTTATAGGCTAAAGATTATTATGGGAGATTCACCGTGCATATTTTTTTGTAAACGGTAAAACCCAATTGCAGAATTCTTAAGAAATGATCTTTTGTTATTTTAGGGGAAGGTTTAGTAAGAGAATAGTGAAATTATCTTTCTTGTTTGAATTATTGTTTTATTTTGTAATTTGATATGGCATCATCAAGAAGAGTATGTGTGAATGATTTAAACAATTTTTGTTTCATTTGCGGAGAGAGTATGTATTTAAATAATACCGTTTAAATGACAACGTTCGTAAATGAGGCTTACAAAAATTACTTTGGGCACCCGCTGGGAATGAAGAATAAGCCTTGGATTCCGCAACAGGTATGCAAAATATGCGTTGAGTTCCTACGTTTATGGACAAATAAGAAAAGACATAGCTTCAGGTACAAAACCGCTATGATTTGGAATGAACCCATGAACCACCATGACGATTGTTATTTTTGTTTGGTGAACATAACTTGTATTAACCGAAAAAATCGAGCAAAATGGGAATATCCTTCCATACAATCGTCACATAGACGTGTCCTGCGCCTTAAGTCTACACCTGAACCTCAATCTGGTACTTTACAGGAAGAGCCAGAAGATTTTGAGACGAAAAACGATAGTAGTGATAGTGACTTTGAATGCGACCTGGGAACGCCAAAACCATTCAATCAAGATGATTTAAACGACTTAATTAGAGATCTGGGACTGTCAAAGTCAGCTTCAGAAATTTTGGCTTCAAGGCTAAAAGAAAGAAAATTGGTAACGAAAGAAACAAATTTCTTATAACCACACAAGAGAACAGAATGTCCTCAAATATTTTGCTGAACAAGACAATTTGGTATTTTGTAAAGATGTACCTGGATTGATGGCTGCAATGGGATTACAAAATTATGTTTCTAGTGAGTGGCGTTTATTCATGGACTCGTCAAAACGGAGTCTAAAATGTGTTCTCTTACACAATGGGAATAAATTAGAGTCATTATCTATAGCACATTCTACAAAAGTAAAAGAAGAATTGCTCTGGGGATAGTAGTAGTGGGGATAGTAGAGCTAAACATCAACATTTGTTTAAAAAGGATTCGTCTACTCGAAAAGATCTAGTTCCAGGACAACAAAACGTGATAAACCCACCTTTAGTGTCAAGAGATCGTATAATTTTGCCTTCGTTGCATATAAAATTAGGGCTTATAAAACAGTTTGTCAAAGGTCTTAACAAAACTAGAAATTGTTTTCTATTTCTATCAAAAAAATTCCCGAAACTGAGTGTAGAAAAAATAAAAGGAAGCATTTTCGATGGGCTACATATAAGATCATTAATAAAAGACACAAAATTTACGGACACTACGACAGAAATTGAAAAAAACGCATGGAATGAGTTTGTTTGGCTTGTTAATTTTTTTTTCTAACTATTATCAACACGTTGAACAACTAATGAGCATCAAGTTGCCCTTCCTTCACAATCACCTAGATTATTTTCCCGCTAATCTTGGGGATCTAAGTCAAGAACAGGGCGAGAGATTCCACCAGGACCTTCGTACGATGGTAAAACGGTATCAAGGCTACTGGAACACACACATGATGGCTGACTATTGTTGGAGCATTCAGAACAGTTCTATGGGTTCAACCTCTGCAAGGAAGTCTTATAAAAGAAAGTTTTTTTCACCTTAAGAACTAAATAGAATATGATTAACTTTAAACAAATTGTGTTTTACTATGAAACCTCCATGTGTCATATTTTCTAAACTAGAGCTAATATAGAAATTTAGATTACAGATTTGAAGTCTTCATTAAAAATTAAGCTAGTGTCATGTAATATAACTCAATCATCAGAAATGCTGTTGTGCAGTGTAATCGCCGTCATATGGTCGTCATACTCATTTACAGTCCAATCTTTGTTGTTAGGACTGATATTCTTTCAAAACAGTGTCTCTTAAATTGCCTTAAAAGAAATTAATTTTCATTAATTATTGGTTTCTAAATTTATCTACCATAAATAATTTAATATTTTTTGGGTTATAAAATATTTTGATGTTTTACGGGTTTCTACAATAATAGACTTTAGCAAAATGAAATTGTGTTAAATATATGTTTGTTATAATACTGTACCTACACTATTATTTCCTACTCCATAACAGTGTCCAGCTGTGTACCAATAAAAACTTAATTTTTTTTAGAACCGGATCTTTATTAAAATTACAACTTGGTGTCAAAGAAAAAAGTAAACGTTTGAATGGTATGCAATTTATTAACACTGATGACAGCATAGAAGTGGGAAATGCAGAAAACTCGAAAAATGAGATAGATAATGCATATATCTATAAAATTATTCTAAATGGAGAAAATTTTGGTTTATGGAATTTCGCAGATACCAATGGAAAATGTATCGGTCAAAAAAGGTAAGATCAAACTGCGAGAAACTTTGGGAACCTTCGCCGCTCATTCAAATAACCCATATACATTTAATCTTCCTAACTCAATTCCACACATAAAATGTTTAGGTATTATTATACCACTTTAACTAGGAAGTAATTAAATCATGAGGGGTTTTTGTCACACCTTTCGAGAATTGATATTAATATATCACTTTTCTGTCAATGCAACAATTCTTCTTTTGCTGATATCAAACACCTTATTTTTTCTTGTAGCCTCTCTAATTCTCTTCGTTCAGATTTCCTTAAAATGCTTTCTTCTTTAAATATCCTTTTCCTTCAAGTATTTTATTTTATTAAGTTCATTTGATGAGAAAATATATAACTTAATTATTGAATTTTAATTAAAGAAAATATTAAAATATAAATAAATAACTATTCGGTTTACAAAAGTTTGTGTCAAAAAAAAAAACTTTTTGATGCAAAAATAGTTATTTATGCAACAAGTGTGTAATTACCCTTTTTTGACGAATGTGACATAAGTCAAAAAAGGGACTTTCCACACGAGTGGCATACAATATTTTTTCTACTACCGTACACATAATCCACTAATATTAGAAATATAAAAGTTACTTTTTTTCACTAGTGAAAAAAAGTACTTTACGCACTAGTGAAAAAAAGTAAAATGTGCCAAAAATTGTACACAGCAACAAAAATAAATTTATTGGAACTTTACAAATTTATAATTCTTACAGAAAAAAATGACTAACAAATGAAGAAATATTTAAAAAAATAGGTTTTTAACTCTTATGAATATTAATATTGAATGTGCAATTATTGCAATTACCAAAACTTAAGGTTTTGGCCTTTCCAGCACAGAGTTTGAAAAATGTTGTGATATTACTTCTGTAACCCTATTTTGAGCTTCGAGTGGTATGGATTTGGCCTTTTCAAGTAAAGAGGTTGAAATATTTTGTGTAACTCTAGTTTCACTGTCGAGTGGTTCCACTAATTCTTCATTAGAGTTGTCAACGGTAAAATTGTAGCTTTGTTTGGAAGTGGATGGCATACTGTCATCCATCAAAATTTTATTAGAAATTTTGTTTTTTTTGTGTTATTGTGCTGTCTACGTAGCCTTCTGCAACAGCAGATGATTTCCACCCTCCATGTTTTTTGACCGTTAGAAGGTCTCCTCCAGAATTTGCCAGCATAGTGGCTGAAGACCTCCTAAAGCAGTGTCCTGTAAAAGCTGTTGGATTCGGCAAGTTTAGATACGTTGCTATAACACTTGGAATTTTACCAAAAGTATTTATCCCTACAGGCTGTTTAGAATATTTTCCATTTGCGAATTTTAAAAAAAAATCTGTTACAATTTATATTTGATGGTCTTAATGAGGTATATTTTTTTATGAAAGATAAATAATCAACTGCAGAATTATTTGGATTTAAAATCGTAAAAATGCGTTCTATTCCATTTTTGGTTTCTGATACTTTGACAATATACACTGTTTGTTTATCTTCCACATCGTTAATTGTCATTTTACATAATTCTTCCCGGCGACAAGCTCCCGCAATTCCAATTATAAAAGCTACCTAAAAAATAACATATTGTAATGTTATAAATAATTTATTAAACATTAGGAAATATCTTGACGTTGCGCATGTAAAACTCCAAATAAATGCTATTGTAAAAAATATAAAAGTTTTAAGTATAATGTGCTGCCTAACAACCCCGGTGGCCTGTTAGGACAGCAACTGATTTTGTTAGGCAACACACCATACGAACACACATCTCGTTGCAAAACTTTACAGAATATTTTAATTTTATACTGAGCATTCAAGCATTTACTGAGGCATTTACTTACTTTGATCATTAAAACCTTGGAATCTGGAGCTTTCAACAGAAAATTAATTAGATCTTCTCGTTCAAAAATTTTGGATTTTTTTGGTTTATAACCTTTATTTTTTTGTTTGAGAAACGCTATTAACTTGTTGAATTTCGAAATATCAACGTTGTTTTTATATTTTAAGGTGCTTTTAAGCATAGAATAAATCGACCATAGGGTAGAAGCTTTGCAATTCTTCAATTCATCAGAGAAATATGCTAAAATAAAGTTTTCCGGATATTTTGTCACCTTATTCTTCCTACATAAGGTATCTGGGGGAGTATTATCAAATTCGCTATCGCTAGATAAATTTGAATCCATATCGATTATGACAGATATAATAAACTGCAAATAAAATTTTAATTTAAGTAAACAAACATTAAAAAGTAAAACTTTTTACCTTCTCAAACTTGATTGAGTTTTAAAATTGGCTTTAGAATCTAATCTTGAACTTAAGTATACTTTTGTCGTGTTCTGTTATAAGGTAGGTACTAATTAAAAGTTTAGAGATTGACAGTTCTTCTAATCCACACAGCCACGGCCAACTTACTTTTACCAAAATCGACATCCACTGTATGTTTACTTTTAATTAAATCGATGACATTTAGAGAAAATTATAATTAAAATAAACTGTTGATAATTTGTTGGACACTAAATAGATATAAGCAAACATAATTTATTTATTTATTTTTCTTAGAAGGAGATAGCAAAAAAATGTTAATTTAAAATAAAACGTTATATTTTGTTATGTACAAATTTTGTCAAATTTTACTTTCTTTAACTAGTGCGTAAAGAGTTTTACTTTACGCACTAGTGAAAAAAAAGTACAACTTTACACACTTCGTGGAATGCGTAAAGTACGTACTTTACGCACGGTAGTAGAAAAAATGTATTAATTAATTAAATAAAATTAAGCTACATTAGAAGGAACTAACTTATAATGGCTATGCCTGTGAAAAATGTAAAAATTGTCTTTCTTATTTTAGAGAACTACACCATAATACTATACCATAAAACTATTATAATGTCCAAAATAGAGTTGAGCGATATTTCACGAACTGTTATTTAATTAAAATAAAATTAATAGAACAAAGCCATATGTCACATAAAATACGAGCCACCGTTTCCCTTCAGAAAACAACTACTCCTTTGGCTAATACCGCAACATGTATTGAATTATATCCAAAAGAAAGAGAACAGATAGAAATTTAATTTCACTACTCTACCTTTGTTTTTGCTTACTAAGGAGAACGTTATTCTTGAACCGGTTTCGTCATTATTAGGACTCATCAGCAAGAAATAGATAGATTCTCAATTCCAGCCTCTAATGGAATTAAACAAGGCAACAAATTCACTATATACAATAACGTTGGTTAGCAAAATATTTAAATGTTTAATTATTTTAATTTTAATAAACTGATATTCTTTTCATGGTTTTCGATCGATTTCTTAAATGTTTTCCAAAAAAATATTAACAAATATTTCTGTATCTGTAACGTATGGAGGGTGGGTTAACCAACGGCACTTAGGCCGCACTTGGCCCATTGTGTATCCTCCTAAGTAAATAGGCACAAATATTTGATTTGTCAATTATTTTATGAAACACAACCTTATTTTCCAACTATTGTTTACATCTCAAAGTGGTCTGAAATAGATTATGAATAAAAGATAAAAACACAAAGTCTATCAACCACAGGATCATCAGTTAGATTTTTTTCAAAAAATGTTTAAGCTTGCAAACGCTTTATACGCTATCTTCAGGCAAATAAAAATAAGTAGAGCTATCAATAGAAGAAATGCATAAGCTTGGTCAACAATTTTAATATAAAAAAATATAAAAATATATAAAATTTGAACGTGAAGATTGATGATGGGGGGAGAAACACATTTGAATTAATTCTACCTAGAGTTTCAAGAAGGAAGGTGACATCCATCAGAGTTGAACACGGGTAAAATCCCAAAAGTGAGCTGTGGGGAGCGTATAATGATAATTAATATTAAAACTACAACTTCTCCGCCTATCCCTAGTATTAAAAAAGTAGCCAGAGTAGTGTTTACGGATTCTCTTAAGAAGAATCTCAAGGGAAACCATAAAAAAAGGTGTTAGCGGTGCACTTTTTCTATGGTTCGACCACACAGTCAATATTTTAAATGAATGTTTAAATGTAATTTTATTGCTCTGTATGACCTCCAAAAATAAAGATTTTGCAAAATACAAAAAATAAAGAAAATTATATCAATTTACCTCAATTATTTATAAATTCTCGTTCACGAGACTAACAATATCTTATTTTAAATTGCAGGAATATTTCTGTAGATGACAACATGAACAGTCTTTATAACGGAAAGGGATATTTTGAATATGGATTAAACACCAATCTAAATCCCAGCAAATTTTCAATAAAATTTGAATTCAGTACTTTTGACGAAAATAGTAACATTTACTTTGCAGTACATGTAAGTACAATAATAATTGTTATGATAACCCTAAACACATTTTTATATATTTTTTTAGTTTGCCACCTGTTCATTCATTAACCTATATTTAGAAAACGGATTTGTCTATTTACTCATACAACTTAACAATGAACAAATTATGACTAAAACAAGTTCCTCGAAAGTGAATGATGGAAAAACTCACCAAGCAGAGATCAGTTGGAAACTAGAGCGAAAAAAACTAGACCGAGAGAAACAAGAGAAACAAGGGAAACAAATCTTCATCATTTATAATTTGGTAGTGGATAATAATCGATCCAATACTTCCAAACAATTAATCGAAAGAGAAAACGTTTTCAAACTTAAAGAAGCCAAGCATTACTTGGGAGGCGTTCCACCAACGTTCAATAAAACTTGCGTTCCAATAAAAAAGCAATCATTTCTAGGATTGCTTGAATTAAAATCTCAGTTAAATAATGCAAGCATTTCTTATGGAATCATAAAAACTAAGGTAAGTTGAAGTATGATTAAAATTAGGAAAAACAGAAAATTTAACGTCTTGTCGTCGTTGAAATTTTAAGCAGACTTTGGATTTACTTAAGTCGAAATAAATGATAAACATAAGAATTTTCCTCTCATTCTTAGTTGATTTGGTAAATGTTAAAAATTCTGTTTATATTAGATAATTAAGTAAACATCGCATTTTCTAAGGTGTTCCACTATTTTTGCATTTGCCACAGTAACCCAAACCCCATGTTCGAGAATTTCTTAATGATGTTCTACACCAGTGTCGTATCGTAGAATAAAAATATTACTATTTATATTGTTATCGGTGGAACCCAACGACGAAAAACTACTAGACTAATCCATTCATTCATAATTAAGCCTTTATTTATTGAAAGCATTCGGATTGTATTTTATATCGAGCAGACAGAGCTGTCGCATCGGCTGTCTCATTATAATGAGCAAGATGGTTGTCAGTTTTTGAGTGGGTATGTTTTGCGCGAATGAATTTCGTACTTTCCTATAAAGAGACTTCAACTATGACAGTTGTAATGAGAAAAAGACATTAAATTGATAAAAACTGTTATTAGGAATGTAAATATACTTCCTTAATGTAATTTTGAAAGCCTTTCATGCATTTTAGAAACTTATTATGTTGAGTCAATTTCGAATTATAACCATAAACAACCCTTGTAACAAGACTCTCCCATACTCTCATAATAATTTGATAACTACGTGAATGACACCGTGAATTTTTGCAATTCGATTTTTGTAAACATACATAGTCTAGTAGTTGTTCGTCGTTGGTGGAACCTGTTAATCAGAAATAATAATTTTAACAATTATTCAAATATCACAATCCTAATTCTACAAAATGTATTAAATTATCTACATAAATACGCGAAATTGTTAATAGCATCTATAAAGTAATTTTCTATGCCAATGTATCGCATTCACTTCAATTAGGCATTCCAAACAAATGAATTAGCAGTGGACAGGTTTGGTATATCTAAGGGTGGCGACATATGGTGTATTCTATCTACTTTACGTAAAATCATGAATAATGGATTACATTTAAATATTTTATGTCAAACACAATAAAAGTAATATTTAAAAAACCCACCTATACATTTCTTCATAAATTGGCAGGCTTGGCGAGTACTACTTCGAATAAAAATAGCGTCCAAGTTGCAAGACTATGTCGCTACCCCCTTAAATATACAAGAATTTCCCACTGGCACCTATTGTTTGACAGGTCGTTGGAATGCCAAATTATTTCCGCGGCAAAACTGTCAAATCCTGTATGGAGCAATGACTTATGTCATTGGTATGGAGTGGGAGAACTGCGAAAGGCCTGTTCCTGTTCAGCGTTGTCTGCCTTCTAAGCACTATAATGAACGAATACTTATCTTCAAAAGTATATCTCATCTGAAGTTGTAATTCTTCGATATTTTAATGTAGGTACATAAAAAAACGTTACATACAAAAATTGACTTTAAGGGACGTTAATCTAAGGATATATGAGCATATGTACTAAAGATACATGCGCATTGAAAATAATCCGTTCCTACAATGTCACGGGTGTTATCCTATAAAATGTCAGAAAAACTTTCCCACGAATTATCTGATTGTCAAAACGATCAGTGGTTCATCACTTGTACAATTTAACAGCACATGCACTTTTGAGTGTCTCTTCTCGTTCGTATGCTATTTGTTTGTTATTGTTCTTGTGGTTTTAAAATAGCTTAGATTTGTATACCTGTCAATTCAAGTGCAAAAAAATTAATCTTGTGTAAGTACGTTTATTTTAATACTTATTTTGAATAAAAATAGACATCATAAGGTTTCTAAATCATACATTCAGGTAGATTATTTGAAACAACTAAAAAAATATATTCACCCGATTGCAAGTAGTTCATGTCATTCAAGCAGACCACATTCTCAAATCGACTCAAAGTTTTTCATGCCCATACATTTTCATGAACGTTGTTACAACCAGCTGTTAATGTTGTGTTTTAAAATGGTTCCTATTCCATTGCGATTTGTGTTCCAACAACAAGTACAAGTCACCGACACAACAATACTGCCCTCCTAAGCCAAAAAGCGGTATCTCACTTCAAGTGAGTTTCGAGAAAATACACATTTTCTAAAAGTTGTTCTCGCGTTCCCTCGAACCGAAAAAAATAATTTAGGTACCGCTGGATTACTTTGAATTATTTTTTGTTTATTAATATTATTTTTGAAATTCTTATATCGTATATGGATATGTAGCCATTTAGCTTAGTATTAATGGCATACCATTAAGCCTTTTAGTACATATAAGTGAAGTTGAGATAATGTGAAATTGTTATAAGTTTTTTTTATGTTCCGATTGATATTTTGCTATTTTTATTAGTTCATCTGAGGCGGAATTTTTCAAGCTATCTGATGGGTTAAAAAATAGAAAAGTCGCTTTTTTTTAGATGCCGCTTTTTGGCTTAGGAGGGCAGTATAGACGATTAACACATACTTTGATTACTATACGGTGCAAGAGAGAGGCCCGACACGCCCACATAGGGCGCGTCCATTTTGATTCCTATGCCACAGTTTATAGCTAAAGAATCAGATCGCTCACTCTGCGTCGGCACTTTTGATCTCAATGTTCCAGTTTATACACTGCGCAACTCGGATAATACAATAAATGACAACTGCCTATAATAAAACAGCAGTCTTCTGCGCATCCTGAATTTGTATTCCTGGAGTGTATGTTATTTTGGAACTTTCAACTGGTCCGAGTGAGCTAACTGATTCTTTAGCAATAAACTGTGACTCCAAAAATAATATTCACTGACACTGACAGCAGCAAGCAAAATATCAGGGGCGTTTTAATCGTCCGCTTCTGCTTCCGGAATTGTCGATTTAGTCGTTTTAACCTGTCAGATTAAAACAAGAAAACCGACAATTCCGAAGGAAGCGGATGATTAAAACGCACCTATTAAAAATATTGCGTCAAGATGTAGGCAACACGTAATAAGGGATCAAAATGGCGGAGTTTTCTATCTCCTTTTAAAAGGCACTCAGAAAGCTGCGCAGTGCGACCATTCTCCGTATAGTAAAAGAAAATCAAAGTATGTGACGATTAAACTGACTGACAGGCACATTTATTACCCTCACATTTAAACCAATAGACGTTTATTTTAGATCCATTTGAGGGTCAGAACGCCCATAGCCTTATTCGGACGCCCAGTATACTTTCGTTTATGAATATTCATTTGACAGCACATGTCGATATCGAGTTGATGTCCGTTTAAGCAGTATACGTTTAATAGTATTTTGACGTCCAGTGGACGTCCTTGTCCATCTTAGGTCATTATTTATTTAGCTTGCCAGATAATACCTGTACACTCTTTTCTATCCAAAATATAATTTAGTCATTGAAAAAATGAATACAGCATTTTTTTCCACCAACTGAACTGTAAAATATTATTAACTTTTAAAATCATATACAAACGTAAATACCGCAATGTAGCGAAACCCGGTGAATAAGGACCCTCTATTCTCTAACTAGACCTGTTTCAATCAAATAGACAATAGTGGGCTTAGTTTTCTTTCAAACGTCATCTGAGATTCTACCACCTTTAAGTTGCCGGAATTCTAGAGTTTAAAAATCGAGCAGCGCGTTAATCTTAAATTTCTTGTTGAACTGAAAAAATCTGTGACAAAAAGTTTTCGCTTGTTAACAGTTTATGGGGAAAATTGCATGTCACGTACATTCAAGTGGCAAAAAAGGTTTAGCAAGGGTCGAAACAGTCGAAGAAAACAATCACGTCGAAAACTGACTAAAACATCTAGAATAGCAATCAAATCGTCCGGAAGATAGACGTCTGAGCATCAGAATGATAGCTTACATGATTAATGTTAATAAAGAAACTGCATGGCTGGTTAAAGATGAATAAAGTCTGTGCGAAGATGGTCCTAAAACACTTCACGTGCAAGAGCAAAAAGAAAACCGCAAAAACATTTGTTCCGATATCTTGGAACGTATTTAAGACCAACCAAACATGTTGGAAAACGTTCACGTGTGACAAGACATGGATTTTTCTGTATGACCCCGAAACAATCGTACTGGAAACCCCCTACTTCGCCGAGGATGAAAAAAGCGTGAATGAGCAAGTCCAAATTTAAAGTCATGTATTCGAATTGGTACCTCAGAATCAGACAGTCAATCAGTACTCTTACATCGAGGTCCTGACGAAACTAAGAGAACCACTAAAAAACGACCAGATTTGTGGAATGGAAAGATGACTCCTAAATTCTGCATCATGATAAGACACCAGCCCTTAATGCATTGTCCGTTAAGCATTGTTTTACCAATAAACGCATTCCAGTGCTCGAGAATATACCGTATTCTCGGATTTAGCACCCTGCGACTTCTTCCCAAAAATAAAAGTGCTTTAAAAAGGATCCATTTTCAATCCGTGAAGGACAGACCTGTTGAGCAGGATGTCAGCTGATGAGCTGCTGCTCTTTTTCGAACAATGAAAGAGGAGCATGAAGCTATGTATAGATAGAGAAGGGAAGTATATTGAAGGGGATAGAAGCTAAAGTGTAAAACATTTTCAATCAAACATTTTTTCTTACAAATGTGATTTTTAAAAGCCACACATTGTATACTCCACTAGGCGTCCATCGGAAGTCCAAAAAAAAGTTGGACACTCAAATATCCAAAAATGTATATTGAATGGTCGTCTAATCATTTGTTTTATCTAGATAGTTTACTAAAGCATCCCACAATAGATCTGAAAAGGTCGCGGTGGTTGAGAACAAATAATGGCCATCTCCTTTCAAGTCTAATCTAAGGCATCCATGTGTACGAGTCAGTTTATATCAGACTGTAGCTGCAGGAACAAATATCTATTTATAATTAGCCAATAATTGACTCGCATATGTTTATTTAATCCTTTGAGAGTATGCCGTTAGTAGTTGAGTTTGTTTTTGTGTTTTTTTTTTCTCCCGATATATTTCTAATATCCTGGGCAGTGTCTTTAATTTCTTTTCATTTTCGACCTTGTTTCTGCTTCTTCTCGTAGCCAACCTTCAATGCATTATATTATTTTTTATTTTTCCTAATAATCGCTTTCAAATACTGATTTTTCAATATTAATCTATCGATATTAGACACATACGTCCTTTGTCCTTCCACGATTTGTGCTATGTATTCTTTGTATCTTGCCTTGTTTATGTCTATTTCCATTGCATTTGTAGGGGTATTTTATTTTTTAGCTTTCTAATAGCGTCCATGTTTCACTGCTAAAGATTATTTTGGGCCTTACTATTTTTTTGACCACATTTTTTTATTTTTCTAGATTTTTTCAATCCCAAAACTTGTCAATAAAATTTATTTGTCTATATCTGAGGAGTTTATTGTCTTCAGAGCAATTTATGAAATTTTCCGTGGAACTACCCTTTTCCACAAATGTAGGATGAGGTTTTTATAACTCGATAGCGGTGATAGCGAAATATTTTGACTCACCTGTTACATACTAATGCTCGTATTCTCCAATGGTTTTCGGTGGTGCAAAGGGACCCTTGCTGACGATGCCGACGTTGTTATGTTATCCTCAAGGCGTAACAAATAATATAACAGTGAATGGAAATCCTGAGACTCCAAGAGTAATTTCCAAAGCAAGTTAACGAAATATAATTTATACAAAAAGTGGCTACCGATTGCAACTTGAACTTTCTTATTCAAGTACTAACGACAGACTAAAGTGTACTTTTTACTTGAAACCGTCCTATTAGCATAGGTGTTAAACGGATTTTACACAAGTGAAAATAATAACGGCAAACCAAATTAAAATGTTTCACCTTGTCCTAAACATTAACAAAATGATTAAATTAAAAGTTTTTTTTTCGAACAATATCAATCACAATTTATTATGAATTTCGAATGTTTAAAAGTTTCTATTACTTGTTTCCCTTAATTGTATATTACTTTTCAATTTTATTCAATTCGCTGTCTAATGTACTTATTATTCTGCAAACTCTTCTCCGAATTCGCCAATATCTACCACCGTAAGTTATTTTTACGATTTGTTTATGCACTGTGTATTGGGTGAACAAAATAGGACCACCCGGGCATTTTTCCATTCTTTATATAAAATCACGCATCCGCCTGTTGTAAAAGGAGACTAAAAAATGGAGGCATATGTCTCGGCGACGCACAATGTGCTTAGTGATGCCTAAGTGATGTGGGGCAACTTACCCTCTCACCTTACAAATACATAAATTTTTATATTTGCCGATTTTTAACTGTTTCGGCCTGAAATGATTAGATAGCTTAGCACACATGCTTGTTTTACTTCTGTCTGTTTAAATTCATTGAATCATTTTCGAATAATAAATTATTTTGTTGCAAAAGATACCGTTGTAAATCATTGTCAATTGAAGTGTTATACCAGTATTGCATATGGTAGTAACTTAGCTTCGTATTTCAAATTCCAACCGAAAAATTGAGTGAGTAATTTAATGTATATCAAATTCTAGAAAATGTTAGATAAAATTTCTATTCTCTGTAAATGACATGTGCTCAGTAACTGCTCTCATCGAGAGTGTATCTTTAGAGGCCTCGAAGAGTAGTAATGTAGGCTTTAGTTGTGAAGAGTCGCGATTAGTCTGTAAATATTATAAGGGTTTATTGTAAAGATTTTCTTAACGCCGCAATGTTAAGGTGGTCCTTCGATTTAATAGAAATTTTAAAGTTTAATCCGGTGTATTTTATTCCTGTAAACATTGTTTTTTCCAAAACGAACCAGTTGATAAACAAAGACAATGAAAGATACAGGGTACTATGGTCGTGGATTGGTAGTTTTGAATTTTAAGAATCCACATCCCATCAACATCTATATTTGCTAAGTTGTTCTTTTTTATTCACTTTACAGTGTGTACCAAATTATTCCCGATTATTTATTGCATAAGGTTTTCAGTATATCTTTGTGTAAAACGTAATCTTCTGATGCGATTTAACTGTTTTTAAAATAGGTGTTATTTATATTTTTTAGACTTTGACATTCAGCCATGCTTGGATTAACCAAAACGGTTATTTGAAACTTAATTACCCACAAGAAGTATTGGAGAATATTAGCTTTATCTTAAGACCAACCGTTTCAAGTGGAACAATTATAAAATTTAACGATGACCAAAGTATTGATTTGAAGTACTCGAATATTATTATTGATGGTATAAAATATAACAATTCTAATATAACTTTAAATGACTACAATAGTATCGAGATTAAATTAGGCAAGACGAAAGAATTAAAAATTAATGGACTACCATACGATATATCAAAGAAACCTGATATTACAATAAAACAGCTGCAGTTAGGAAAAGAAAATGGAGAATATGACGGTGGAATTAGGGATATAATGATAAATAATAAGTAAGTGTTAGTAACAAGCATATTTCGTAAAAAATAACTATATTGCAAAGGTAATTTCAATTATTTTAATGTATAACAATATTTATTACTTTCAGGGTCATTCAGTTTGATAACTCCACAGTTAATGAATTCAAAAACGTTGAAATAGGAAGGGAAAAACCACTTTTAGAATCTAATATCAACATGAAAAGTTTAACAATGACCAATTTAACAAATTCTATGCAAAATACTGATAGATGTACTGAATTTGATAGCAACGACGTTGAACAAGATGCCATTAAATTTGGAGACAAACCAAATAGTTACACGTACATTGCAACCAAGTTTTGGAGAAGTAATTTTACTCTCATATTTGATTTCAGAACATTTTATCCAAATGGAGTTTTGTTTATATCGGTAAATATCATTATTAAAGAAAATATATCATATTTTATTCTTTACACAATTATTTTTTAGCAAACAAAGCAATTAATTCTTAATAATTTTAGATTAACAAACGAAGAAATTACATTTTGCTTCAATTAAAGGATGGTCAGCTACAACTTAACATAGAAGGTAGAAAGAAAAAAGTAAAAACCCTACCAATAAGTTCCGAGAAAAAAATGAACGATGGTAAATGGCATAATATACGATTGACTAGGAAACTAAAAAAATTAACAGTTATTGTCGACAAACAAAGTAAACCTAACCGTATCAACATGAGGATTAAACCAAAAGACGAAATATACTTTGGAGGAGTATCTCCAAATTCGGAATATGCAATTACACCTGACCTAGTAAGTAAAAATATAATATGAATAAACTGTATTTTTAAGAAATATCTTCGACTACAATTAATTAATTTTTTTAGACGAATCAACTTATACCTTTTAGAGGTTGTATGAGATCTCTTGAAATAAATAATGAGCGGCAATTTTTGATAAATAACAAAAACGTACAACATTCCAATATTACACTATGCTTTTCAAAAGTAGAGGATGGAGCTTACTTTGGAGGCGATGCTTATGCCATATACAGTAAGTAATTTTCATAAACGCATTAATGATCTCTGTATGATTTTATGGTGCGCTGAATATATTTAAGAATAATACAGTGTGTAACAGCCAAATAGAATAAATTCAGTAGCACTGTATATACAGTCAAAACCTGATATAGCGACATTGAAGGGACCGTACAGTTGCCGACGTTATATCCGCTAGTTGTTATAAGCAATACACATACATAGTTACATTAGTTGTGTAGTTATACATATTGTTATAGGTACATATCTATTTAGTATAGGGATAGGTTATGTTTGTGAACTTGTCAAATGAAATGTTAGAAAAGAAATAAAAATATTTATTAAGAAATAATTAGAATACAAAATGTAGTTAGCTGCTTACAGACTACAATAGTTTTTAAAGTAATCAGTCATTTTAGCCTTTTTTTTAGCCCAGTCTCAAATATTTTTTGCATTTTACGTTTCATACTCTTCAAGGTAAGAGTATCATCAATATTAAATTGGTCATTAAAGGTAACAATTTTTTGCAAAACTGTTATAGCGTTAAGAGCCTCGGAAATTGTTGTTAGCTGAAACTATTCTTCAGGGTCTTGCTGGTCTTCGTTTTCGTCGTTAGTGTTATGATTGTTACTTTCAGCTTCTGCAAGAATTTGTTCCTCAGTAGCTAAGGCGCACACAGCGACACTGTCATCTATTCCAATAAATTCCTCTATCTCAATTCTTTCTCCTGTAGCAGTAGATCTTTGCAACTGAGCAACCAATTCAGCAAGTGGTACGTTGTCATCTTCATCTGTAGATTGTATCAATCTCGATTAGCATTTCCATCAAACAAGAGGGATAAAGGCTGCTCATTCTAAGAAATCCCAACTTCATACTTGCCTAATTCAAATCGTAAAAATTGCGATTCTTTTTACATTATAGCAACAAGCCATTTTATTTAAGTGAATATAACAATACAATTTTTGCTTTGAATTTTCGTTCTACCTCTATCCACTATCTGTTTCTGGCGACTTTTTAATCAACAAGCCATTTTTTAATGCTAATGTAACAATTCATTTGCTTTAAATGTTCACCCTCGACACTTGACATTTTAAGGATATTTTTTTTTGTAGAAGACGATTTTCAAATCAGTGAAATGCTGGAATTGGGCTTTGAATTCAGAACTTCTGAGCAAAATGGCATCCTACTGAGTGTTTCTAATCATGGAGACTACCCCGCTCTTTCAGTAGAATTGCAAAATGGAGCCATCGTAATGGCAATAAATCTAGGCAACGGAATAGTTTCTAATGTGACAAACAATTTAAATTCTGATATTGCATTGTGTAATAACAAGTGGCATAATGTTACTGTCATGTATTCCAGTTCAGAGCTGACAGTAAATGTAGATGGAATTAGAAAAAGTTGGGTACAGAGCGATATTAATTCAACAATGGATGACATAGAAGCACCGTTATATATCGGAGGACTACCAGGTATATAATAACATTTTTTTATAAAGAGTAAGTTAATAGAATGCTAGAAAGTATTTCTTTACGTCGAGAGATTTTCATAAAAATCTTGACGGTAATGAAATTTCACTTAGTTTCATTATTTTATTTACAATTATTGCTTTTGAATGAGTAAAAAATATTAAAAATAATTTTCAAATTTCGTTAATGGCATTTAAATATTGTTTTGAAATATAGGTTGAAAGTATAACAGGGTTTGAAAGCACCATTACTTTATGTACAGGATTTATTCTAGTACATGCAGCGTGCCATCTTTCACGCCAATACTGTAGTGGTGGCTTTAAGAATTGAGAGAGCTGGAAAGATGGAAGAGTGTGTGTACTGGCAAGTCGGAATCTGATGTCTTCATTTACAAAGTTGGTAAAGGAGATCCAGGTTCGATCCTTAGATGGGGCACTCATTTTTTATTTCTCAGCTTTTTCAATTTTTCTTTCATTTATTTTTACTTTGGGGATATGGGGATGAATTCCTTAATTTCGTAGGGGGACTTGAAGTTTACATTTTCCAAATATGTGCATACCTTAGTTTACGGATCTTTAAAACCGATATTCTCTCCTCTCATTCTTCATATACACAATTCTTCAATAATACCCGTTTTCCACGTGATCTGTTAAAACAAGAAATATTTTTAGTGACATGAAAACTTAATTGTTAGTCAAATACCCCATTAATTTTATTTTTAACCAATTGGTGACACACCCCCACTCCGACCGACACAGCGGTGCGGCGATAATATTAACTCCTCATTTATTCAATAAAAGAAAATAAAAAAAATCGAAAAATCGAAAATCGAAAAAAATCGAAAATAAACCTAACACATCCCCTCCGACCGGCACAGCGGTGCGGCGTTGAAAGCCATGCATCGTCTAACGTCGTTTCAGTTCGGCAGACTTCGGCACGGTGTTTGTGTGCGTGCGACTAGACGTATACTTGTAGACTTATTTTAATTTAAATCTGACCATTAGGGCAATTTTACCTAATTTCTTGGGAAGAGGCTTATTGGAACTGGTTGTCAATGACTAATTTGCATAATTTTGTTAATCCGAAACCCACGTAAGTATAGCGAACAGACTGTAATTGTTATAATCCAAAAAATAGTAAAGAAGTTACCATCACTATGATAGGTCAGGCAAGCCAAACACGTTCCTAGAAATAACGCCGTTTTAGCTATGGTTGTTAGAGCGTCTGCAACCGTCGTCAATTACTAGACAACTAGAACCGTAAGATTTTAAAGTTTAAAAACACGACTAATTTTTTTTTTTTAATCTGTTGTGAAAAAATAAATGAAACATATTATGTAAATATCTACCAATTTCAGAAAATTCTAAATAAAACAAAATGATAAACTTCCCTATTTGCCGTCAATTCAACTTATAGACTTACAATACTGTCTAATTGCAGTTGACTTCAGCATATTCGACTTGTGCTTTTCTGAACCACATGGACCTGTTGTAAATCAAATTCCAATATTTCCAAAGTGCAACATCAACCGATGGAGTAAGTCGCACGTTTGTTGACGTGAACTTTTTCTTCTTTTTTTTTTTAGTTTGACGACACGGCATCACAACAGCTTCATAATTCTATTCACTTTGAGTGCAGCAGATTTGTATATTTGAGTTTGTAGCTATAGTATAGACATTTTGCTTGGATCGTTTTAATTCTAGCTGTAATTATAGCGCCAGAATATTTTATTCACATCACTTTTATATACAAAATAGTTAGTCATCATTACATTGATCAGTAATAAATACTGGATATACCAATAAAAACTCCCAGGCTGGATATTTTGGTAAGTAATAGAGATATTTTAATTCTGTAAAAGCCAGTTCACAGAGCACTAAGACAGCTTCAGTTTTAGATATAAACTGATTTTAAATAGGTCAATATATAGATGGCGCTGTCCTTAATAATTTTTTTCCATGGGAGGATCTTTCTTGTGTAGCGCATCTTATAAAAAATGCATTTTTAAGCAGATTTTGTTCTATGAACTAATTCGATAAATCTAGCCATTTTTGATATACAGAGTGGGCCATTCAAAACAGTCCCATCCTGTTTTTCAGCATTAATCATTGGAGATTTTAAGAAAATGCTAAAACAGGTCGATTTTTATTCCAAATTAAAAACATTTTTACAATACAAACATGTGTCAACCCCCTCCCTTGCACTTCTCCAACAAATTAATTTTAAATAGGTAATGTACCATGTATGGCACATCATAAAAAAGGTAATTTACTGGGGCATTCAGAAATATTTCTGTACATTGCATTACTTAAATTTTATCGCCCTCTAGCGGGATAAAAAACTACTACGTATTATAGAGTGTGTGACTACAATGTGTAGTACATCATTAAAAAGGTAATTTTATAGGAATGTCTTCATTTACAAAGTTGGTAAAGGAGATCCAGGTTCGATCCTTAGATGGGGCACTCATTTTTTATTTCTCAGCTTTTTCAATTTTTCTTTCATTTATTTTTACTTTGGGGATATGGGGATGAATTCCTTAATTTCGTAGGGGGACTTGAAGTTTACATTTTCCAAATATGTGCATACCTTAGTTTACGGATCTTTAAAACCGATATTCTCTCCTCTCATTCTTCATATACACAATTCTTCAATAATACCCGTTTTCCACGTGATCTGTTAAAACAAGAAATATTTTTAGTGACATGAAAACTTAATTGTTAGTCAAATACCCCATTAATTTTATTTTTAACCAATTGGTGACATCAATTTGGTTACGCAAGTTACGGGTATTGTTGAATTATCTGTAGTTGCAAATAAAATATTGTTTTTTTTTTTTTTTCAGATAACGCTCCTATAGGAACACTGAAGTCCCTTACAAATTTTAAAGGCTGCATACGAAAATTAAAAATTGAAAATCAATCACTGGACTGGTTGGATATGAATGATTTAAACAACGTTTTACTAAATTCATGTCCAATTTCAGAAATTAGCTAGGAAATAAATTTTTATAAATTAATTTTAACAAAACTGAAACCAAATTTACTTAAGTAATGACTAGTATTATGCCATATTTGTATTATAGTAAATAACACTGCCAATGTAATGTAAATAGTTTTGTAAATAATTATTTAATTTTTGTACAACTATTTTAAATTAGTTTAAACGATTAAACAAACATGTCGGTTTCTGTATATAGTTCGTATTTACTAGCCACTTAAAATTGTATATGAATTTAATATATACAAATAAATTATACTTTCAAAATAATATTGTTTGAATGCTCACATAAACAAAGGCAACTGTATATAAAGTATATTTTCTACATCCACATGGATATTAGCTATTCTACGCATAGACTACAAAACGAAAAAGTATGTCATTGCGTTCAACTGAACGAATATATTTCATATTCATTCTACCCAGTAAGAACACTGCAAAAAATTAAATCCACTAATCACAGTTTATATTTTGTTCACCCGTCTACTATTAATACTGTTATTTTTTAAATTTTATATAAGTGACAATTCTGTCAAATGTTATTGAGCATAAATATTCATTAAAATGAGTTATTCTTGTGTAGAATCGATAAATAATAGCATTTATATTTTTATTTCGTCTATGGTCTATATTTACAAATAAATAAAAAAATTTAATAAAACTATGGAGCAGAGACTAATGCATTTTTTTGGCTGTCATGGGAGAGGTTCCGGGTTCAAATCTAGGATGGAGACTAAATTAAATTAATCTTTTTTTGTCATGTTTATTTTACTTTATAAATTAGTAAAAGTCATAAATTATTTTTAAATTAGTTATTTTATCTTAATAACCTAAAATAATTTTTAAAATTTGTAGATTCTCGTTAGAGGATCATAGATAAAATATACTGTACAACTCGAGTGAATTATCCATATGCACTCTTATTGCACTACTATATCAGTGTATCAGCATCTTAAGGCGCGTCCACATCAATGCACTTGTTTTGTGCTTGTATTTTGAATTCGATAAAAATATTTGCAGCTTAAATTTTGTTTTGTTTAAACACACTTTTCGACAACAATTTTTGGATTGTGTTATGTATGCTGTGAAACCATTTTCACTGCGGCCACATTATTTAGATTTTCATAATCAACTTGTAACATCTAGAGGAATTTTTGTTGTCCAATAAACGTCTTTATTAAATATTTTTTTCTTATTGTTATGTAGTACCCCAATATAGCTAATATTCAAGGGTAATATAACGAGATCTTGATAAATATAGTCGACTATTTTTATTTCTAAATTTTGTGTTTTTTGTCGAGGCATGAATTTATGCCAATTTTTAGATCATTTAGTATGATGTTATATGTAACACTAGAAGCCAAAAATACAAACTTCAACTGTAAACTATTTTATTTAAATTCGTAAATCTGAAAAGTGATTTAAATATTTTGTTTACAAATCCTGTGTGTAATAGATAACAAAACAATCAATGCCCAGACCTACGTCACATTGTCTGCATAGCGTGCGTTTAAACTTTTGCAAAATCTTTTAGCACAACGCATTCGTTTGTCATTTTAAAATTTTTCCTCGAGGTGCTCTATCTCGTCAAATCTAATTTCATACTCTACTCTTTACGTATTAAAAAAGGAAAGATAGTGTCACGTTAAGTGGTTTGTTAGGCAAACCAATTAATCGTGGGGTACGCCACTGCGTATTTCGGATTGCCCAAACGATCTTCCAGTTGAGGAAGATCTTTGCGCCACCCGAAAATACTCACTGGAGAACCTTTCTTATGATTTACTGTTTGGCTTGGCTTTACGCTACTGGGGAAGGAATAAAAGTCACAGCATAAAAAACTACAAATCTTTAATGAATACAAACTAAAATCCCCTAAACTACCCAGAAATCCTCAATGTTATAATACACCCAAATATACAATATATATATACACTACAAAGACTTTAAAGAACTAACTGGTTACTTTTCTCAGAAATACCTTTTTTATTTTATTTTTAATTAGATTTATAAAATACTCTTACCACATGCTTTAACAGGAAGCTTCAATGTCACGACTTTTTATTTTTATTACTGTAATACAGCAGAGTATTACCTACTGCCGATTTATGTCACAGCCGAAGAACTTATAGCCTCGGTTGTGCCAAAAATGTTGTTATTTTTTGTTTTGTTAATTTGGCTAGCTGACCCCAACATTGTTTTGAAATTGTAGAATCAGCATAACCGAATTGAGTGCTTTGTTTACTTTCAACACACAATATTTTTTTTAATTACTAGACGAAAAGATTGTTATTGTTTTAAATAACTTTAAATGTAATAGTAAACACAAATTGGAATTGAATCGAAATTAAAAAGATTGAAATAAAATTATATTTTTGGAAATGGCTTTAATAAAATTTGAGTTGAAATATATTTTTGGAAAGTACTTTATTTTATCTTTAATAAAAATCTAATTATTTTTAAATGCAATTCGTGACAATAGAAAGAAACAAAGAAAGAAAGAAAGAAAGAAAGAAAGAAAGAAAGAAAGAAAGAAAGAAAGAAAGAAAGAAAGAAAGAAAGAAAGAAGAAAGAAAGAAAGAAAGAAAGAAAGAAAGAAAGAAAGAAAGAAAGAAAGAAAGAAAGAAAGAAAGAAAGAAAGAAAGAAAGAAAGAAAGAAAGAAAGAAAGAAAGAAAGAAAGAAAGAAAGAAAGAAAGAAGGAAATAAAGTAGGAAAGAAAGAAAAAAAAAATTAAATAGGTAATCCTAATATTCATACAATTTATAATATTAATTACTTATAGATAGAAAATAAGACAAAATAAAAATTTAGACAGAAATATAAAAATTTAAAAGAAAGAAGATTGATCAGAGGTGTGTTCATGAAATACTTTGTTGGATATGGTTTAGTAACATTTTTCAAACCTTCTAACGTTATTTGCAGTTTTTATCTCATATGGAAGTGCGAAAATTGAGTTCATAGTGCAACTGTAATTTGTATTAGTTACATAAGACAGTAACACTTCCTGTGGGAAAATAAAACGTAATAATTTCATCAAAGCATTTGAGGGCATTTCCCGGTATAATTTTATATATATAAACAACATAAAACATAAAAATAGTCTATCCTTCACCGACAACCAATTTAATGTGGAAAGCATTGGTTTTAGTTTTTCTATGAAGCATTGTAATAATAGGTGTATACCTATTACATCTCAAAATAATTTGCATCCTTGTATTTTGCAATTTTTGGAATGCCTGTCGACAGAATCTAATAACCTTAATAAGCAGTAATCAAAATAAAGTTGAATGATTGTTTTATAAACATGTGAAGTATTAAATATAAGATGGCCACAAACGATGCTGAAGAAAAACAATTTTTTTGATATTAGAAGATAGAGATGGAGTTCTGCCAGTGCCTTTGCGAAGTGACGAATATTTATTCAAATAAATTTGCACGATGGCTCCTCTAAAGTATGATTTCTTCATCTCCATAGTTCTGCATTTTTCAATTATTTTCGGAACACTCTGTATACTAATACTTTAAACGTACTAAAAATGCCCTACAATAAAAACAAAACATTAGATTGATACAAAATAACTAGAGAATATCCTTACATTATATCCTAGCGTTACATATAAAAAATGTAACAGTAAAATTCCTAACCTAACAACTCTTCTATTCAAAAAAATATCGAGACTAGCATACACAAGAAATATGTATTTAAATTTTTAATTTAAATACTACTCATAATATTTTTGTACTAATATCAACTTTATTATACAAAATATGACATGTATACTTACTTTTTATCAATGAAGTCATAATTTACAACTCTTTTTCTTTTGTCATATTTTAACAAAGCACAGTTTCAGTGTAATAAAGTCGCACAACTAAACCAATATGCAAGCTAATTCCTTTTGACAGGAACAGGACCTGTTTCCAACCGAAAATTCATGCTACTCATTTACTAATACATAATTATTGTAGGAGCTAACGGGTTAATTAACCCGGCATAAAATTAGAACAAATTCAAAGAACAGCATGTCCCAACAGAACAGGAGCCATGAAAGCCATACCGACCAAAGCCATGGAAGTCGAATATTTTGTCTGACTGTTTTACTATGATTACATATCTTCGGGGTCATATAAGCCCGGAACTGTGAAATAGAAAATTTTCTGAACACCATATATGAAAATTTATAAAAAATGTTATCGCCATAAATGAAAAACATTGACGGTGCCAAAAAGACCTCGTCCCGCAGTTGTGTTGAACGAATTAATAAAAAAATTGAGAATAAACCATACAAATTTAATGCAATAAAAGAGAAAGTGTGATTTAAAATAATATAGTTTTATTCTTACGTCTAAACTCTAACACAAATGGGATAGATCATCAATAAGAGGAGATTGTTGCTGTTGCAGTTGCTGTTGTTGTTGCTGCAGTTGCTGTTGTTGTTGCAGTTGCTGTTGTTGTTGCAGTTGTTGTTGTTGTTGCTGCTGCAGTTGTTGTTGTTGCTGCAATTGTTGTTGTTGCTGTTGTTGTTGTACAAAATTCTGCTTTGATATCAGTACTGTATTTCCTTGACTGCCTGAAACCTGCCCCTGGTAGTTTGCCGGATTATTTGGGTTAGATACAACTACTAGTTTTTGTTGCGTCGCTAATTTCTGTTGGTTTTGATTATTGGATACAAATTTTACAACAGTATTTTGAGACGACTGGTTATTTTGTTGAATTTGATGTGAACTACTCATGGGCGTTTGCGGTCTTTGAGTTACAAAAACGAACTTTTGATTTGACTGAGCAATTTGCGCTCTTGGTGTAGGATTCATTACAATCGTCCTTCCTCCCACAGGAGTTTGCTAAAAAAAATATATTTTTATCAAAAATGCTGTTAGAATATTTATAATAAAGTATAATAAGATATCTAGAATCTCTTGTTCCCACACGGAATATTGAAATCCTTCAAAAAGTGTTTATATAAAAGCCTTTATTAACTGTGATATACAGTGGTGTTCCATAAAGTTGGATCCATATGGGATTTATTTTTAATATTACCATTAGAAAAAAACGTCGTAGGACATTCAACTCTGCTTTTTTAAAAGCTTACAATGCCCTACATTAAAGTTGGGTATGTACTGCATTAGTTATCGGTCAAATTCAGTATTTATTAAAATAGGTTCGATTTTTTTTAATGCCAATTTGACAGAAATAATATGTCAGTAGCCAACTTTGATATGGGCTATTAAATAAGCAGAGGCGATTGCCCTACGAAGTTTTTTTCAAATCGTAATATTAAAAAAAAATCCGATATAGATCCAACTTTATGGAACACAGTGTGTACGTCATATTTGGAAGACAAACAAAGTTTTCTCCTTGGTTGTTGGTATCTGACTTCAGGTTAAGAACAAAAAATATACTATATACCTATCATATCACGAACTTGAAAACTTGGGACAATTTTCTTACCCAGAAAGAAAAAAAAGCAACTTAAGTGCTAAATAGTCTCCTCTGGTTGTGAAAAATTAAAAAAATAAGTTATCATAGGGGTCATCACCTCATATGCTTCAGAAGCCTAAACAGTAAAAATAGATAGTAGATAGGAACAGTAGCAACTAATATTCTGATATTTTTAAGGTATCAAGAATAGAACACAAAAGAAAGGATACACACAAATGTTTTTTACACTCTTTCAGGCATCCCTCTACTCTTCCTGAGGGGTTCTAACAGGCTCACCCAATTCAGTTTGGGTTCCAGAATGGCTCTTCCGATCAGACTAACTCCCGCCAATCAGGCTTGGGCTCCAGCCTGATTTCTCCCAGTCAGGCCTGCCTTCCTTTTTCTGGGGGTTCTCATGGCAGCACAACAATTTCATGGGTTTATTGTGCCACAATTTGGATGCACTACTCCTTTTCATTCCTTCAATTCATACATTCTACCTATACATTCCACCATTGCATATGGGCCCTGAGCTCTACACCCATCCATAAAGTGACCAGTCCCATACTAATGGGATGTGATCTGTGTTTTGAATACTTTTTAGTCAGCCAGCGACCTCGTAAATACAAATGTTACTGAGAACTGAAAAGAATGAACGATCAATGATTGATGACCCAAACGGCTTTTTAACTAGTCATCGAAATACAAGAAAAATACTAAGAGATACATGAAAACAAAACACCAAAAAAAACAACGAAAAACGGAGATGCTGAAAAGTAAATTATTAATTTGCAAAATGTTCAATAAATAATTTCGGAACTTCAGCACAATCAAAATGCCATTCTCTTTTTTTATAATTTTAAATTCAAGAACATGAAGTAAATTTTATTTGTCAGAAGAGTCTAAAGCAGTGGTTCCCAAACTTTTTTCTAAGGCGCCTCCTTTTTTTAAATAAAGAAGTGGTCACGCTCCTTCATTAAAACAGAAAAAACCTTTATCGCACAAGTACGTCATCGAAAATGGTTTATAAAAGTTCAACGTCATTTCCGCGATCAAAGTATAGATAGGAAAATATTTTATCCAAAATGAAGTACCTAATCTCCAAATTTTATAAAGTTTTTTTTTTTTCGCCAAAAATGGGGGTTAAAAAAGGTCTGTTAAAGTATGAATGCCAAGCATTACACAGATTCAGCTTAAATTTTTCTTGGGTATTGCCTATTAACAGTGCGCAAATATGGGATAGTTTTACTGATTTCACCATGTATTTGTGTGTTTTTAAAATGGACTGTATAGATTTCTGGTTTGGGTATTCAAACTGCGATACCACATTGAACAGTTTGTTAGATTATTAGTATGTATACAACAAAATAAACAATTTTATGACACAAAAACATAGGCACAATAATGCTACAATACCTCAAGTATGAGGCTGCTTGCTTTTCCAACTCTTTTCTTTAACAACACCCCGAGTTAATAACTTTTAATTCAATTTACCGAGAAATAAAAAACGCCGGCCGGTTGACGCCCACAAAGCGAGCGAAACTCACAAACCACGACACACCCTTCTCGCTTTGAGTCAAGATTGCTTCTCTTCTTAAAACAATGCCTGAGATTGCAGAGTTGGTAGAGATGAGAGCGAACTTCCAGGGTTGGTTGGAGTTACGTCATAAACAACTAATCAGACATGAATGTTATGTTGGTTGCATAATGTTAGATGCCTTTTATCTATTAATTATATAATGAGAGGTGAAAAAACAAATATATTTAAATTAGGTGTCTAGCGCGGCGTAGGGGAAAGAGGAGTAAAATTGAGTTGATGTGTTCTGGCGGAGAATAATGGTAGTTATTTTCCAACAAACAGGAAGAATTGCAATAGCTTTATAAAGAATGAGTATGTCTTAAATCCAACTCTGTTTGCGTGACGGAGACGGCAGATGAGATAGATCTGCGTCATGGGATTTCCAAAGCATTTCTTCTGCTTTCTCTATTATCGGTTCATATGAATATTTTTCTTTCTGTTGTTCTTTATACTTTTGCACTATACCCAAGAAATATATAAGCCGAATCTGTATATCTTCATTCCAGTTTTTATTTGAATTTGTCAAATATGATTTTTTCGTTTAAAACTTGTATTAATACTTCATGGCTCTCCCTTAATTGCCTACAATAAGCTATTATAAAAGTCGGCAAAATACTTTTTAATCTAATTAATTTTAAATAAAAGCACTTATGTTTTTTCTTTTATTACACTATGGTGCGCTTGTTTCAAAGTGTTGCAACTCAAAATATAACATTATAACAGAAAACTTTTTACATAATTTTATAGAGCAGAATTGACACAAATCATAACATGACATTTTTGATGTGTGAACGGACAATTTGTGAAACTTTAAACACGACATTCGTTATCTCTATCTAATAATTGTAGGAACGGACTATTGACATTTTTACAGATGAAAAGTATAAGGTTTTTATTAGATTTTCATATATTAAACAAAAACATATGCAAATTGTGAATTTAATAGATCACAAATCGAAATCCGAAAAGATTGAAATTTCTGAAATAGGTTGTAGAATAATTTGAAAATTCGGAAATAATCTCAAAAATCCCCTTATAAATCATTAAGACTATCCCCGAACCCCAAAGAGGAAAACAAACACTTGAAGATATGAAAAAAGCCTGTCGGTGCCGGGATTCGATCCCAGACATCTTTGTTCTCTAGACAAATGCCCTTACTGCTAGACCATGACGACATTGACTATCGAGATTCTTAAACAGAAATTTTATGTGCTAGTTCGGGCCAGACGCCATTTTAGGCTCGTTCTCAAATCTTCTCTACAGCATCGGTATATGTGAGAAATGCATTGATGCATACTAAGCCCATATTTTCGTGTTTGAAGATTTGAGAACGAGCCTGAAACGGCGTCTAGCCGGAACTAGCACATCAAATGTCTGTCTAGGAATTTTGACATTCAATGTCGTCATGGTCGGTAAGGGCATTTGTCTAGAGAACAAAGATGCCGGTGACGATAGGCTTTTTTCAAATCTCCAAGTATTTGTTTTCCCCTTTGGGGTTTGGGGATGGTCTTAATAATTCGTAAGGGGATTTTTAAGATTTGTTTCAGAATTTTCAAAAGCGTATGCTTTTTGACCTGTCACTTTTGAAGAGAGGGTGCGATATTTGTTTCTATAGTTAGTTCTACTTATTTTTTGATATCACTTCAATATTAATTAAAAACGTTTAAAATATAAATCGATATTTTAATAAAAATACAGTGATTGTCTAATTTATTTTCAACCATTCTAGTAAACAAAAGAAAAAATAGAAATACCTGTTGAATAATGCCACTAGGTGTGCTAACGGCTCTGGCAATAGTGGAAGTGCAGGTAATAGGATTATTTACATTTGTGAAACTAGTTGACGTGGGTGTAGGTTGAGTCCTTGCTTTGATTACAGCTGAATGCAAAGATGGTCCCATATATCCATACTCCTGTTTGTATTCTTCAAGATTATCTGGTGGATTCCGGATGCTTTTTAATACAGGTGCTAATACTTTTATAAGTAATGCCTTAATGTTCGCAGAAGCTATCTTTTCCATATTTGACACCATACTTCCATCCAGATACATTTCTATTTTATTACCTGCAACAAATAAATACATAATCTCTAGAAATGGTTTATAAAGTTTTGGAAGGTATTTAAAAAGACTGCCAAGAATACCAATATGATTTCCATTCAAATGATCCACCCCGAAAATAATGGTTTAGAAAATTTTAGCCCACAAATTTGTTCTTACATTTTACACATGTACCCAACCCAAGTCCTAAGGGCCGAGTTAAATAAGAGATGTTTCATAAATTGAAGACGAAAAAATACAAAAATTCAAAAATAAGAAATTTTAAGTAAATGTATTCAAAAAAAGACTACATAAAAAGCTGGTTCATGTGGAAGATAAAAAAAATAATTAATAAATTCATACAAACCTATACTTTTTATTTTTGGTAGAATAAATATTCTAGTAACTTCAGCTCCTAACTCTGATAATCCCTGTAGGGCTCCATATAATGAAGGCAATGCTACTTTATCTTGGTGTAATGCATTTGTAAACATTCTTGTTACTCGTGTCTGTATATTGTTTGTGCTGGTGTTAAAATTTTTACAAATTTGTGCCATAAGCCTAGAGGCAAAATCTCTTAAGGCCCAGTGATTATCTAATTCAGGCCTCATGCATAACTGCTTTGATACAACGCAAGTTGTTACTGATGGAATTAATTCATGAAGCTGAAAAAAAATATATGAAAGAGTGGATGTTTAATAATATTGGAGTAATCAATCAGAGATGATTACACTAAAAAAAAGTTTGATCAGACGCAACCTGATTGTTTATGCGAAAAATATGATTTGCTTTTTGTTTGATAGTCTTCAAAATTGGGTTTTGGAAGATTTAAAATGTGGACCATTTTAGGTCATCAATTAGTGAAAATTTCAAAGCCGGAAATGAAATTATGCTTTGTCTTCAGAAGATATATAAAGATAATATCTTGACTTGTATGGGCATATCTACCTGCATGTATAAACTTCTGACATATAAAAATAATCACAGATTTAAAAAAATTCATAAGTGTACTACAAGAAATAAAAATCTATATATGTAAGTTGGGGAGGATGAGTTGTCCTACATCATTTAGGGCTATTGTGCTACTTATATCTATTAAAGTCTATAATATAAATGAATCAGTTATTTGGAAAAGAGCACATCTTCTTAACACACAATTTTACGGTGTAAAGGAAAAACATTTTTGAACCAAATTGCACGTACATAATAGTTATGTAGATATTTTTATATGTTCATTGTGAGGAAGCTAATTACAGTTATTTTTCATGAATGTTTGAACAATCTATATCATAAAAACATTTTTATATTCATTTTATTTGTGCCCTTTTCTAAACTTATTCAGAATAAAACATTAAAAAATCAAAATATGACACATTATTTATTATAGTTTCACATATTATTTATAAGTTAAGTAACTTTATAATAGAATTTTTTGAATAAAAATATTAGAAGTTTTTTTCAACCATCTCTTCGAAGTCCGCTATTGGCCAGTCAAATATCATACCAAAAAATTATTTTGTTTTACTGAGGAATATGCTGGATTAAGGATTTCAAATTGTTAACTTTTTTATATTGATGTGGACTTTTGCTCAGTATAGACTTTCAATGCCTCTTCAGCAGAAAGATTCGCCTTGGACCCGGCATGTTTTGCTAGTGAAAAAGATGACAGAATAAGCCTATCTACATGTTTACACCACAAACCATAACAAAAATTTGCTGCTGATTCAACAACAATTTCAAACTGAAATTTTAATCGTACAGCCTGAAGCAAGATAACACCCCAAAACATACGCCTGTATTTCAGCGTAACTAATTAAACAAAAAAAAGACATTCACAAACATTATAAAACATCTGAAAACTTCATCCATTATCATCTATTTTCTGAATTAAGGGATCGCTGTTCACAAGTACGTACTGAATGCTTCAACACATACCAAAAACTTTTGGAAATATAATAATAAAAAGGACAACTACCATTTACCTACTACCATGCATTATGAAGGAAAACAGGAAAATTGTAACAATGATAATGTTAATTTGTTTTCTTCATTTTTATCAACTGTCTATTGTCATGAACACCCTAAAAAAATTCTGGTTTATACATTCAAAAATAATTCTATTGATGTTACTAATTACCATATTGATATTAAAGAGATCATTGATAATATGTCCAAACCTCATAAACTTTCATATGGTCCTGATGAAATTCCACTGTTCCTTTTAAAAAAATGTACTTTCACACTAGCAAAATCTTTACACTATTTATTCAATTTATCACTATCTTCAGGTGTATTCCCTGTGTTCTGGATGGAAAGCTTTCCTTGCCCAATTTACAAGAGTGACAACAAAGATAATATAAAAAATTACAGACCTATTTGCATTCAGTCGGAAATTCCAAAGTTACTTAAATGTATTGTTTCAAAAAAATTGTCATGGGACACTAAATCTATATTTAATAGTGAGCAACGTGGATTTAAGCCAGGTAAATCTACAACTACAAATTTAGTGTTTCATAAAAACTTTATAATTGGTGCACTCACAGGTTGATGCAATATATACTGATTTTACAAAAGCGTTTGATCCGGTTAACCATGTACTCTTGCTAGCAAAACTCAACTACATAGGAATAGTTGGCTCAATTTCATAGCTGGACAGTTATCTTAAAGGACATACTCAGTATGTAAGATATGGAGGCTTCATATCATCTGTGATATCGGTATCTTCAGGTGTACCACAAGGGTCGCATTTAGGTCCTTTAATATTTAATCAATCTATCCATAAAAGTCTATTTTTGCAGACGATTTTAAATTATACACAGCTATTAAAACAATCGAGGATGCCAGACTGCTCCAATTTGATATAGATAACCTTGTTAGATGATGTAAAATAAATCTACTTAAACTAAACCCAAGAAAATGCCATCAAATCACTTTCCATAGAAACAACAATCCTGTTCAGTTTAATTATATATTAGACAATCATGCACTTCATAAAATTGATAGTATAAAAGATCTTGGTGTTACAATTGATCCCAAGTTGTCATTTCATTTTCATTATTCCTTGGGATTTATAATGAGATCGTCCAAATATTTTCCAACCGATTCGATAAAATTATTACATTGTTTGTTGGTGAGATCTAACGTTGAATATAATTGCATCTTATGGAATCCCTATTGTCAATGGGACATAGATTTAATTGAAAGCGATCAACTTGAATTTTTAAAATTTGCTGCAAATAAAATGGGCATTTCTAATGGAAGTAGAATATTTTACCAAAGCTTAACTTGACTTCTCTTGAGCATTGTAGAACAGAATTAGCATTAGGCTTTCTTCAAGAGTTACTAAATGGTTCAATTTGTTGTTCAGATTTATTGAGGCTGGTGAATTTTAACATAAACAGAAGAACACGTATATCCGAATTATTTAGCATTCCATTCCACTCTATAGATTATGCTCAAAATGAAACTATTTTTAAAATACTTAGGGTTGCTAATAATCACAATGATAACTTGGAAATATACAACTCATCTTTACCATCTTTTAAGCACCAGATTAAAAACATTTTTAACTATTTTTCTCTTTCAACCTTTATATTATTTTACTGTTTCTTTTTACTATTATTATATATTTAATGCTTATAATGTCTGTTTGATATTAATATTTTTCTCTTTTTCTTATACATATTGTAACTTTTTTTTTGTAAAATGGTATATCCGTAAATAAATAAATATTTTGAAAAGGTTACATTTTTCCTAATTTTACAGGAGAACAATTTAAAGTTTTGTGCTGCATTTGAGTAAGGATATACATCCCTCACAGAAGTTTTTAATACTATGTAACAGTTACAGCTTGAATTGTGCCACTTTTTGAGAAGAAAGACCTATAAAAATAAAGTGTTTTTTTGAGATACATCAATTTATTAGATTGACATATGAATTTTTTGTACCAAATGGTTCTCGTTCAATAAAATTCAAATGTTTATTACATATGTTGGCCTTCGAAACATTGGTATTTACATCAAATATTAATTTAAAACTTGTATAAAGAATTATAATAAAATAGTTTTATGTTCAAAAACTTACATATTTTTCTAGATATAATGATTGGTTGTCTAATAAGGCTTTAACCATTCTCATTAGGTATATCAATAATGCTAGGTTATTCTGTACTACATTAACCCTCACTCCTTCTATAATAAAAGTACACATTCTTGGTAACATTTCGTGTAAACCAGGATCAGAAGCTAAACTTTGAAGGGCCTCTGCTCTTCTTGCTTCATCAGATCCAACACAAGCTTCTGTTATTTCCTTGTAGTATAATTGTTGTTCCACAGACAACTCATGTGTTGCTAGCTGTTTTATTTGAACAGTTTCAACATTTTTTAGCTTTTGTTTTCCTGTTGTAGGTTTTCCAGAGGTTTCATTTAAAGGCTTTTTATTAACTGGATCTACAGACTCCAACTAAAAATAAAACTTCACCTTAATTGTATAATTTTAGCATTACATGTTTACTGTAACATTCTAGTTTTTAGCATGAGAGAAAACAACCCTATTATTTCTGAATTTAAAATATATGATATGAAATAGGTTTTGAAATGGAGGAAATTATTAAAATGGAATTTACAATTTGAATATTTTAGATGGATGTGTTACATTAGAATTTGATTTAATAAAATTGTAATTTTAGCAAAAAATTGCAGATAAAAATGTTTGCAATTTGAAAGACAATAAGATGTTCACACTGAAAAACTCTATTTAAATAGCTAAAAACCATAAAAGATAAAAATATTATTATCTATTGTTTATAAATGTATGAACTAGTAACAATAATTTACTTAATTTTATAAATCTCATATCAAGGAAGATACAAAATATTCACTTGCAATTAAAAACAAAAATGAATGTATTTTATAATCTCCATACTACACATTCATACCATAAAAACTAAGCAAAATACTTGAGCAGAATCCTAAAAATTTTATTTAGATTCATTCACCATAGCAATTAGATCAAATAAACCTATTAACCAAATTTAAACTTAATGATTAGAAACTACTTGCTAATAAGTATTTAATCAATAATAAAATTAATGTCAAGAAATACACTACTAGGTCCTCAAAAATTTCAATCTGAGTTAGGTACCTTTTTCCTTTAATAGTTTTTGAACAAAGCATTCAAACGTCATACCTAATTCATACAGATCCATGCATTATTTCACACATAACAAATAAGGGAACTACTAAGTTAACGAAATTTTATTACTTTCTGTATAACTTTTGCAACAGGTGGTGGATTTTCAGGAATTGTAGGCTGAACACCATCAATAAACAGCCAATGTGATCGTAATGTAGATTCTAAAGGTGCTTTTGGACTAATATTATGAAGTAAATCATTAAGATCTACTTCTTTCTCCTCTATAAAATGAAGTTCTCTTCCTCCTCCAGAAGCAAATCGAAAAGGTAAAGGCTCTGCAGATTGAAATCCATACTGGGGCTGAAACATAATTTATTTATATCTCAAAGCAATTTGCTGCATACAATCTTACCTCTATATTTTTAACTTTAAGTGCTGCATCTACATCACTTTGCAAAAGTTTTGAACGTTTTGCATGGTTCATAAATTTAGCAGCATCTTGAATAATATGTTTAATTCGAAAAGATATGTCCTCTGCTAATTCTTTTGCAGCATCATCTGCTAAATAACCAATACCTATACTTTCTGCTATAACTTTCATAGACTCTGTCGAAAAATTAGTCCCATACAAGTCGTATTCACTCATTTTTGACATGGTTAAATGTAAAGTTAATAAACTAGAATCACTTGCTACCACAAAAGTCTTTATTTATTTTTCATTTTTGACATTTTGATTTTAATATTGGAAGAAGAAGAATCATCAAAACAAAGTCGTCTTCTTCTTGACTATGACAACTTTTAATTCAGACTTTCGGACAACATTTAAAATGCAAGTCGGAACGGAAAGTTCCACAAAATATCAATGAAAGTGAAATAAATATTTTAAACAAAAATGATAACCATGGTCAGGCAGACACACGAGAATACACCTTTTTTTCATGTAATAAATTCCCAAAAAACGTGGTTATGAATAATCCTTTGGGATCAGGCCATAAAAAACCTAGAAGAAAAAATATGACAGATGACAAATAACATAACCTTTTAAATATTCACGTGTAAAATAAAAGTCAACAAAATTGTCATGTTCCTAGTTTTAAATAAAAACATTTTTACATAAATTGCAAAAATAGTAATAAGTTCAAATATCTATAATTATATTTACGTGTATCTTCTAACTTGTTTCAATAAAATGAGCCAGACTTCAGCAAAATCTGTTAACTATCTCGTAGTAGACACTACGGCGTTTATTCAAAATGCTCCTTTACAGGTAAATATTGAGCTTAATATTATATAAATTTTTGTTGAAACCTAATATTTAAATATTGTAGTGATATTTTTTTAACTATTTGAATTTCATATAAAACTTAATTTTATAGGACATTGCAGAAAACATAATAACATGTCCAGAGGTACTTGAAGAAATTAAAAATAAAAGGCAACTTAGACGTCTAGTTGTACTTCCTTATAATCTTATTATTAAGGAAGTATTTCCTGAAAGTGTTATTGTAATAACAGAGTTTTCAAAAAAGACTGGAGATTATCCCAGTTTATCAGCTACAGATATTAAAGTGATGGCTCTTACTTATCAACTAGAAAAAGAAAAAATTGGTACAGCCCATTTAAGATTAGAACCCATTATGCAAAAACCTGAATTGACAACAGAAAATAAAACAATTGATATGAATGCAGATGTTACAGGATTTTTCTTACCAGTAGAAGCAAAAAATGAGGATAAAGATGAATATTTAATCAAAGATGATGATAATGAAAATGAATTAAAAGAAAAATTTGATACTTCAGTACAAAAGGAAGAAATAATTCAAAAACTAGACGAATTAGAATTATTAGAGATAAAGTCAGATGAATTATTGGTACCTCTAAACAAAGAAGAAAATGTTGAAAATGAAAATATAGAATTTGATGAAGATGAAGGAATTGAAGATGATGATGAAGATGATGATGATAGTGGCTGGATAACACCATCAAATCTTAAAATAGCTAAGCAACAAGTGAATTCTGAATTAATGGAAGAAAAGAATGTAGAAGTAGCTTGTATCACAACAGATTTTGCTATGCAGAATGTACTTCGCCAAATGAACCTTAATGTTGCAGCTCTGGATGGTAGGCTTATAAAACAGTTAAGGACATATATTCTTCGTTGTTATGCTTGTTTCAAGACAACAAGCATTATGACAAAGAAGTTTTGTCCAAAATGTGGAAATGATACATTGAAAAAAGTAGCAGTATCTTTGGATGAAAATGGAAAAATTCAGATACACATCAATGCCAGAAGACCTTTGACAGGTAGAGGAAAAAAGTTTAGTTTACCCAGAATAAAGGGTGGTAAACATCCAAATAATCCAATACTTGTTGAAGATCAACCAATGCCAGATAATAGGCAAACTAGACTTGCAAGAACTAAAACTAATCCTTTAGATGATGACTATATTGCAGGTAAGCAAATTAAAAATAGATGTGCTATAAGAATAGTTCACATTTAAATTATTGATATTGTTTATTAAAATATGCATTCAGATAAAATTTTTGATCATAGCCTAAGTTTAGGGTGCCATTTATTAAATAACATACAACAAACTTTCACAGTTACTACTTAACCATAAAATAAATACAAAGTGTAATCTTGTAGTTGACGGGTCTAGAAATACACATATGCACACCACTCTGTACTGATGTCTAGAATTTGACACAAATTTGAATTTTGTAATTGAAGACAAGTGGATGAAGGGCCTATGTAACATTTTTTTTGAATGGTGTTTTTCTGTAAATGAAGGGCTCATGTACCTAAAATTTGTTTAAAATCTCTTCAGTGACAATATATCATCAAATATAGAAGTTGCCAGTGGATAAAGGACTCATGTACTAGGGAATAACTGCCAAACAATAAACTTTAACAAGAAATATCTCGTAAAAATTATTTTGCTACATAGACCCTTCATTCACTTGTGTCTTCAATTATCATCATTGAAAGGTATTATTGACATTAAAAATTACTTGAAAACCTTCAGAACATTTTTTTTTATTTTTATGGGATTTTTAATCAATGTAAAAATTGGTAAATAGATGATTAAAAGTAAAATAGTTATTTCAATTTAAACTAAATGGCGCATACAGTGAAAGATACGAAATAGGGATTGGAGTACCTCAGGGAACGGTCTTCGGGAGGTTCATATGATAATGCATTATTCAAATTAAATATAATACAAAAGAAAATACTAAAAATCATCTATGGTAAGAATAAAATTTATCCAACAGAACTACTGTTTACAAATAATACTTGCAATATCAGAACCATCTTCAACATGTCAACAATATGCAGTTACATACATACTCGAATTTCCCTACAAAACATTGTAAATCATCAATATCACACAAGAAATAAAGTAAATTAAAAATTAGTAGTGCCGTGAGTCACAGAAATATTAACCTAAAATTTTTTAATTATTTGGCACCGAAAATTTATAATATGCTACCAGGCAAAATAAAAAGAATATCAAAAAACAAATTGTTTTCAAAAGAATGTAATACATATAGGTTTAACAACTATAACTTGTTTAAAGAATTATTTAAATAAAGTAAAGTCTTCTGTATATAGAATTAATTTAAAACATTGTAATAGGGCTTTAAGAGTCTTGAGATAGTTTTATAATTACATATAAATACATTTACGAATCGTTATGAGACACATACAGATGCAACTAGCATCTAGGTGTCTCCAAGAAAAGGTATATAACTTAAGATAATATTAATTGGTTGTAACATAATTATGTAACTATTTTTGTATTTTATAAAATAAATAAATATGCTTATTCTCTGGTTCAAAATAATTAAATATAACCTGGCAACTATATGTAACGATTCCAACTGTCAGAACTAGCCTGAACAGGAATGGTGCGGACAGGCGCATTTCCAGACCCTACAATATTACCAAACAAAGTATATTAGGGGGCGTCCGTTAATTACGTGAGGTGTTCAAGAGTGGAGGGGATCAATCTAAATATTTTCAAATCTCACTTGAAGGAGAGGGGGTCTTTGTAAATCTGACGTAATTTTTTTCTAGTAGAAAACAGTACAAAATTGCGTGAAAGTAAAGTTAATTTAAATAAAGAATGTTTCTAGAAATTTTATATTATGGCAATATTCTCAAATACTAGTCTTTGCTAGTCTTAAATAAAAGTAATAGAACATATTATTGTTTTTTTTTTTTTTTTTTTTTTTTTAATAATCCAACACATTTACACCCAAAACACAAATTTTAAAAAATCTCACGTGAGATTAGGGGAGGGGGAAGGAGTTGAGGAAAATCTTACGAAATCTCACCAGGGGGAGGGGGGGGGGTGGTCAAAAAATCCTCAAAAATACCTCAGGTAATTAATGGACGCCTCCTTAACCTTTCATCAGGCGTGTATGCTTATGAAACATGGTTGGTCATGATGGGTCTGCCTGACCCATGAGTACCTATTTAATGACCGATTTTTTAAATATTTAACAAAAATATATACGAATAATTTGTTAATTTAACACTCTTGTGTAGTGACAATATATATTTCACTTTTATAAAATATGTAGGAGATAAAAACTTCCATAATATAATGCATGCAATAATTTGTATTTACTTTTAAATTTTTGTTTGTTATTATTCAAATTCAAAGGCAGTTTCTTCTAAATTGTTTTCTTCTACGCAATTTTGACAAACTTTTGCAAGTGTCAATTATTGACATTGGGTCGATCAGACAAACTATGGGTACCTGACCCAACTAATGCTTATTTGCAATGCAATAAATATAATGCTGTCTGTAAAATTATTCTTAAAAGATGCCTCGGAGATGTCATGGAACTACAATGTCATAACAATAATAGTTAAAAAAAGAAAACTTAAGAATGTTCCACCATAAATTACTAACGAAGGGTTAAATAATTTGGGTTTGGTATTTTTTGTCATTTTTCTCTAGATGTACCTAATCCAATGCCTGTGTATTTCAACTGAATTCTGTTTTTCTTCTTTATTTAAATCTTTGTCCCATTAAGAGTTTGAAATTATTTGCCTTATATAATACAGAGTTGTGCGAAAGTCTGGTATAAAATTATTAATTGTTCAACCAGTAACTTAAAAAAAAAACGCTGAAACATGTAAATTGATTTTACATTGGACACATTTGTTGCCAATAAAATGAATTTTTTTCTTCAACCCCCTAGCTGCAACCCTACCCAACTTTCTTTTTTTTTTAAATGCAAATGTAATTTTATTGGCAACAAATACGTCGAATGTAAAATCAATTCACTTTCTTTTTTTTTAAATTACTGGTTGAACAGATAATTTTATTCCAGACTTTCACGCAACTCTGTATAATGTTGACATAGTAATATTTTTTTTATAGGATTTTCACCGTTTGTTATGAGGGATATCAATTCTAAATCAGCACAGTTGGGTATAAGACCTGGGCAAGAATTCAAATATTGGATGAGCAAAAATCCTAATGAAGCCAGAAGACGAAAAAAATAATATAGACATACCTATTTAAGATTAATTATTAAAATTTGATTTATTTTCCGTTTTATTTTTTAGTTAATAATTTGTAAATATATTTATGATGGGTCAATACAAGGCTAAAAAAATTATGTTTAAAACTAAACAATAAAAAGGTTTCGAGTCTTATAAGGGGTTTTTTGTGCCTTGGTGTTCATTTTTGGTAAGTAGGAGCAGTTATGATTGTGCTTCAGTTAAAAAAAGAAAATATTCTGGTGTCTCTTTATAATTTTATCTTAGTTAATAAAAGTAGTAAATATTGAAAATAGGTTCAGGTCCTGGAAAAAGAACCAAATGGAAATACGCAGCAAACTTGTTAAGACTACCCATATACAAATATTTGGACCCTTTATCCCTTAAATTTGTCCAAATTGAAATATTTGGCCCCTTTACCCTGTACGACTGCCCATACAAAAATATTTGGCCCTTTACCCCCTTGAGTCACAATATTGATAGAATTGAAGCAGCCCAACGAAAAATATTAAAACTTAAGTTTTAAATAAGATAGTCTATCCTCCTATAGGTATACAGCATCATGATATGCTACTTAAATATCGATTTTGGAGTCTTGATACAAAACGCAAATATTTTTCATGTATACTTCATAGTTTCAATTTTGCAGTTCCTTGAATAGCTTCCATCAGGACCTGCATTCTGTAACTATGCGAGTATGCGAAGACAATTTGGCCGGAATCATGTGAATGGTGAGAGCAGTTTTGCCAGACGTACGATTTACACAACCGCAACTCCCCACACGCTATTTAATATTATTAATAACTAGCTGAACCGATCCTGCTGCGCTGGAATTTCTCATCTCAATTATTAAAAGTAAACAACAGTTCGTTACTCGAGAGAAATTTTTTCATGCAATACCTGGCAATTTTTTTATTAGTTTTCATTTATTTTTATTTATTTATTTTTAATTTTTATTTAGTTTTTGCGTCATTATTTACTAATAATGAGTAGCTACAATTCCAATTTTTAAGTTTCTACCTTTAAAAAACCGAAGGTTTCATACAAACTTTTGCCTCCCGTTTCCCCCCTTAATGTCTATTTATTTAAAGGATAATTAACATTTTTGCCCCACCTCCCAATATGAGAAAGATATCGGTAAGGATGAGAACATTAGTTTCTAATATGACTACTCTCAATTGTCTGTCTCCGAATTATATAGTGTGTCTACTTAAATTGAAATCATATGGAAAACTGTTTTTATTATTGGTTTTGTGAAAAAAATGTATTTATAACATTCTTCTGAATTGTAAAAAATAAAGGTACTTTACTCTTGAGTAAAATTCATATTTTCTGACAAATCTCGTATACGTATTAAAAAATTTGATATATGATGGTTGAATTTTAAGCTTTGGAAAATGCAAAACTTTTTATCAAGAAATGGTTTTTTCACAAAACCAATAATAAAAAAAAATTTCACGCGTAGTTGTCAAGTTATAGAAGATTTAATTTAGCTGAAATCAGTACAAACTGTTGCCATAGAGACAGTTGTCTGTTGTAAGGACTAAACATAAAACCTAAATTCAGTGGCAAGGAAATGCATAGTTGCCAACTTATAGACAATTTAATTGAAATTTAGCTAAAATCAGTTACGGAACAACTGTTGCCATAGGGACACTTATTGAAACAACTAAACAAAAACTCAAATATCGAATTGAAAAAAAGCATAGTTGCCAAATTACAAATGGTATAATCTAACTTTCGTTTAGCTGAAAGGCATTTTCCATGCAAGCCACGTACTACCTTGCATGAGAATTGCCATCTAAGTAATTAAAACGGTTGAAATGTTTATTTTTTTTTTAATATTAATACTTTTTAGATAGAAACTTGTAAGCACACTATAAAGTCCAAAATATTTTTTAATTATAGTTTCAATAGATATCCATCTTTCTGTATAAAAGTAATTTAAAAAATATCATGCATATGATGCATCTCCCTGTATGTGTTACAAATGGCTTTATATTCATTCTAATGTAAATTGGGTAATAATATTTATTTATGATTGTATTATTGTTTGTCCATTCCTTTGGTCTCGAACCATTGGACCCGGTCCTTTATGAAGAGCATACGTAGGGCGGTGCAACCAACACGTAGAGGCCCTTTGTTAAGAGAAACTTGTGGCGGATAAAATTCTCGACAGCATCATATGATATAGGTACCCGGATATTATAATTGTTTTTATATTATTAATAAGTAATAATTAGTATTATTTGCCTGTAACAAGTACCTCAATAACAGAATATAAGCATTGACCTATCGTGAAATTAGTTACATTTAGGATGATATAACTCGGAACGGACAAGTAATTGAGATGAATCGTAATGAAGAGAAATGTTCTCCTTAAAAATATCTTTCAATTGATATATAACATCCTTATTGGGGATGGGGCAATTTCCGATACATTTCTGCCCATTGTCCTTTTATACCTTTAAAAAAAGCGATACCCCCATACAACGTTTCCCCCATTTCCCTCCTTTCTCCCATTTCCCCTTAAAATATGAAAATTCAAAATCCCTAAAACACGCCATTATTTATTTGTGATGAGTAGCTATATTTTCAAGTTTCACTACCACTATGCAAAAAATCATGTCTGTGAAAAACAAAAACAAATCTATCCCACGGGATCCGTATATTTTTCCGGGATAAAAAGTAGCCTATGTGTTATTCCAGACTATAATTTATCTTTGTGCCAAATTTCATCCAAATCCGTTCTTACGTGATTGAGCAACAAACAACCATACATCACATCTATCCAAACTTTCGCATTTATACAGGGTGTTTCAAAAAGGTATGTCATAAATTCATCCTCAGATAGATTACCAAAAAATAAGTGGATTTGGCTATATTTACTGGCTCTCAACAAAGTTACAGGGTGTTAAACTAACATTCAGAAAAACGTTTTTTTTTTTGTAAAAAGTTTGCTGTTGCGATTTTTGCTTCGAAATTTTTACCAGTACTGTAGATTTGGAGGCCCAATATTCTAAGAAGAAAAAAAATTAAAGCGACCCCTTTAAAAAAAAATTGGGGGGTTGGGTCCTTTTAACCCCCCCGTATTTTTTTTGATATAAAGAAACTTGCTTTATCGATCTTAAAATCAAAAAGAACTATGAATTTTTAAATTTTTTTTATAGCGAAAGGAACTTTGTATCTTTCCTATTTAACGAGCTATTTACAATTTTTTAACTGAATTTCTAGAGCAATTCGTCCATCCTGGACTTAACATATTAACAAAACTAAGAGTAGGTCACAAAAAACGCCTATAAAAATCAGTAGTGTGCCTAGGGCTGTGCTTGAGCCGCCCCAAAAACTACCTCTTTTATTTATATTTTTGTATTCAATGTTGAATATTTACTAAATTAAATAGTTTATAAAATATGTATAATAATTATTACCAAATTTTTAATTGTTAATTGTTTAATAAAAAAAATATTTTTTTAATTTACTATTAAATTTAATAAATACATTTCCCAACTAACGTGTATTTTTATCAGTGGCATGGTGAACCCATGAGGACGGGTGGTACACCATTTTTATGGCGCCAATCCAATATTTACAAAAATATAAATAAAAGAGGTAGTTTTTGCAGGGGTGGCTCAAGCATAGCCCTAGGCACACCACTGATTTTTATATGCGTTTTTTGTACAATAACTCCTGACCAACTCTTAGTTTTATTGATATGTTAAGTCCAGGATGGACGAATTGCTCTAGAAATTCAGTTACAAAATTTTAAATAGCTCGTTAACTAAGAAAGATACAAAGTTCATTTCGCTATAAAAAAATTCATAGTTCTTTTTGATTTTAAGATCGATAAAGCAAGTTTCTTTATGTCAAAAAAAATACGGGGGGGGGTTAACTTTTTTTGAAGGGGTCGCTTTAAATTTTTTTCTCCTTAGAATATTGAGCCTTCAAATCTACAGCACTGGCAAAAATTTCGAAAAAATCGCAATAGCAAAATTTTTACAAAAAAAAAAACGTTTTTCTGAATGTTAGTTTAACACCCTGTAACTTTGTTGGGAACCAGTTTTTGATATAGGTAGATATAGCCAAGGATGAATTTATGACATACCTTCTTGAAACACCCTGTATATTAGTAGGAGTTATTTATTATTTTCGCAACCCGCTATACACCATTTATTTTTTTACTTTTTTTATTAAAAATCACTTGACCAGAGCAGGGATCGAACTCACGACACGTCTATGGTCGTTCTGGGCATTCAAGCACAAGTTATTATTTATTTATGTTCAGTAGTTGTATTTCAAATTTTATGTTTTACTACCACTATGAAAAAAATCGTGTCTGTGAAAAACAAATCTATCCCACGGGAACCATATATTTTTCCGGGATAAAAAGTGCTATTCCAGACTATAATATAACTTTGTGAAAAATTTCATCTAGATCCGTTCTTGCGTGATTGAGCAAGTTTTTAAAAAGTGGGTTACTTTGTCGTGTATTGTGTTTTAATTAATTTGTACTGATTTGGACTGGAAAATATGGACCAAAATAACATTATTACTAGGCTGTAAGTTTAACCAAATTCTATTTTTATAAGTCAACCTGCTCTTCTTTGATATAAACTTTAAATAATAATGTATATTATTGATTTTAAAACCAAAAAAAGATTTTTGTCTTTTCGCAACTGGTGACGTAATGAATTTTTCGAAACCAGTTTCATAATGTTCAACATTATGCCTGGTTGCGTGAAGTAAATAATTTTGATACTTGCTGCGATTACAAAAGATGTCACATATGTCAAAATTGGAAAAAATAATAGACTTCTCATGAAAATATTTTATACATATTTTTTTTGTAGATGTAAAAAATCGGGGGGAAGAAAATTTTCTGGTCGGCACGAATGCAATACTGAAAGCCCCATAATAGGAGGTATCGGAAATTACATTACTGTTTAAATTTTAAATATTTAACCTAAATTGAGTATTTACATTATTGTCATAGGTGTAGAAATGATAAATTGAGATATTTTTTTAATTATCAGGCACCATGTAGGTACATATAAATATATTCGTATTTATAATATGTAAAATTTCCAAAACCAAGCCGATTTAAAAACACAGATTAGGTACATTAAATTTCGGTAAATAATTGTGAAATAGTTTATTAA